TTGTAAATAAATAAATTGAGTAGCCTACTTGCAAAGGATTTATTTCGATGATTCAATCTATCAAGTTTAATTGAATATATATATCCGAGTGGCTTATAAAATAATTATTTAATCGTGGTAATTTATAATTGATTATTATTTAGCAAACGTTTAAATTAATAAAGATTAAATAATATTTTAAATAAATTTGTTAACTAAAAATCTAGTATTTCTCATAAGAAAAAAAAAATCATGTTATACAGTATTTAGCAATCCTTTATTTTGAATGGATCATTACTTTGAATGTTTGATATGAAAGGGAAAAATTCACATAGAAACAAAATTCAACATATTTATTAACTATTTATTATTAATAAACACGAATTATAAACGTAAATAAATAAATTATTATAAATATTCCTTATAATCAAATATATAAATATTATCAAGTGTCTAAAGTAATGAATCAGATATTTTATCGATTAGTTGAAAATAACAAAAATTTTACACAAAAATATTTATTTTAAAATTTTTATTCTTTTTCATGCTTTGATTTCGTTTCAATAAAAGCGAAAATATTAAATATTTTGTTAATAAATAATTAAACGCATTACTTAAAATATAAAATTAAAGATTTTAAGCTTATCAATTATAATTTTAAACAAATCATTTAATTATTTTGATTTTTAAACATTGTAGTCATTATTAATTAATACGTTTTTAAAGTAATCTTATTATGTGTAAAGGTGTTTTTTCTAATCAAATATGAAAATCTACTATACATTCCTAAACAATCTCCAATTAATGAAAATTTTATAAGATTTATTATATATTCTTTCGTTGTTTAATGCAATTCTTAAATCTTTATAATGTACTTTAATATTAAGAAGAGTTTTTAATAATAATATATTCGAATTCATGGATAAATTCACCAAAGTATTTATTTAATTATAATTTTTCATTCCAATTTGTAGTGCCTGGAAGGGCTTTTAAATATCTACTATCACAGGGTAGCCATATTGTTTCGAGGAAAGATTACCATATCTAATCGTATTTGATAAATTTTGCCTAAAACTAAACAGCTGACGCGAACCCACTCCGTTTGTTTGTCCACTAAAATGTTCGTAATGAAAAGATTTGCAATTTCAGTAACGTAAATTTCTAAATTCTTAGATAAATTCTTCTAAAACAGTGAATTTTTAAAATATTTTCTAAAAAAAACTAAAATAAATTAATATTGATATGTTTCAGATACTTTTAATGTAGACAACATTATATTCTAAATATCGGGTGAATGTATTTAAAGTGTGGCTATTCAACGTTATCTAGAGACGTATTTAACAGATCCAAATGCAACCGATGGCAATGTTTCGGGATATGCCGAACACATTACCATAAAAAATTAGTACCAAACTTATCACTATAGCAGTTTTGGCGCTGCGAGCAACAAATATTTTATTTGTATCAGATACTCGTGCTATAGAGAGATATTAGCAATGCAAGGTATAACGCTGGATGTGATTCCTATCTCTCGCTCAATGTGTATGAAATTTTAAAGGTATAAAACCTAAAGTCGACGAAGAATATGCTCGACGGTCGACTGTAAATGATTCTTTGCGATGTTCCGACACGCAGTGTGATACTATCTTTCGAGGCAGCCGTATTTGCGACACGTCCTCGATAAATCACTGTTTTTAAGTGTCCCTACAAAGGCAACTGCTTTTTCGTTGTCTCGAATTACATAGAAATTCACAATACGATCCTTACAAATACGCTGTATAGTATTAAAGCAAATATACAGATTGACAATTAGAGAGATATTTTGTTTGATCATTTAAATAATTTCTCACTACAGAGAAAATTGTATAATATATACTCGTACCGAATATATACAATAATAATATAATAGATAATAAATTAATTAAAGTTAAATAAAATGCTCATAGTTAATAATATTATGTCTGAGTAGCAATTCATATGTTATATAGGTAACGTTAAACAGAATATTTATAAAAGTTTAGTATATTAGAATAAATTTTAATCTATTAATACAATCTAATGAATATAAATAATTTTTCTTTTTCTAAATGAATAAAAATGCATAAGCGAATCTATTCTTTTCCATTTCTAAATTGATTTAACGAAAAATGTGTACGACAGTGATACTGCTGAAAAATTTCGACAAAAATAGTCGTAAGGTCAAATTTCGTAAATCGTCGAATAATAAAGCATCATTATAACAATCTTAATGGCGTTTAAAGAATATTTATAGACCTAATATTTATCAAAAGATTACAGATAAAGTAAATTGTGAACTTTAGGATTTAAACTGTTAAATTTCTACAAATAATATGTCCTTCAATTCAATAGAAGGATCATTGTAGTCATTGTTAAATATCATTAGATTAGTCGAGATCAAATAAACTATTATAATTTATTAAACTTATCTTTCTTTGATAATCTACAAAATCAAAACTGCTACATATAAATGGATGTGCAATAAAAAAGTTCGAAAACTTTTTCTAAAGAAAAAATATAAGAAATACGATCGTTTTATTACGATAATGAAAAAAATTATCGCTACAATGAAAACTTTTGGTAGAAATTGCATCGATACAATCGAATATAAAAGAGAATGCGAACTGGAAAAGTAGGTGTTTGAGTAAGTGCGAGAATAAAAGTTATCGTGGGAATACCAGTTTGTGAATAGTGGTCTTATAATGTGAATGGAATGAAGGCAGCAAAGAGTTTGATGGATTCTTTCCAATTTCATACTGCTACAAAAAATAAAGAGAAAACATTTTTGAATAATTTGTATTATAAATCAGCAAACTGAAAATAGCAATTCATCTACGAGATAAAAAAAAATAATGGATCATTTTTAATTAATGCCATACGCATTATGTTAATATAAAAAAAAGATATCAAGTACTGTATTTAGAAATTTAATTAGAAATGTTTTATAACGAATTTTATTAGATTAATGTAAATAATTTGGAGTTAACGAAACGAAAATAACTTTTTTTTTTAAATGTTTAAGAAAATAAAAGAGAAAAAATGGCGCGGAAGAATGACTAGATTTAGATGGATTACGAATTTTATCATAGTAATAAATAATATTTAAATAAGAGAGAAACGTATGAGGATTGCTACCATGAGGATTACATTAATATTTCTTCTCGTATAATTTTAATTTATTTGAAATTATACGAGAAGAAATCTTAAGCTACGAATGTTTAAAAGTAATTGAAAAATATATTTTCGCGATTTAAAGAACCATAAAAATTTTTCATTTAAAAAAAGTAAATAAATTTTCTTCCTATCTTTAATTGTACTCTTAGTTATCTTCGTATTGTTTTATTATATTCTCGAATATCTTGTTTATTTGCATTAGTATAGAACATAAGTCATATTTAAGTATCGTTTACGTCAACGTTTACTTCTTAATTAAAATTCTTTCCAATATCGAAAACATTCTCCATTTTCTGTATCGACAACAAATTTTTAAAGTATCAGTTTCCGAATTTTTAATTATTTTAAACGAAATAATAAATTCGAATTTTCAAAAAAAAGAGGAAAATTTATTTTATAATTCAGTCAAAACAGTAAATAAATTACAGTATATTCTTTCAAAAAGCTCGAATTCTCCGAATTTGTATAAAGTGATTAGATTCGGAATTGATCGAAAATAATCGCCTATTGCGAATAAACCGTAAAATAATATAATTATTCGAATTTTCTGTTTAAATTACATTTTTTTTTATATTTTACAAGATAAATGGGCATCTATTTTAAAAGTGGATAAATTAATCTAATTTATAAATGCCCAGTATTGTATAATTCAATATTGGGTATTTCGGCAATGACTCTTTCGATTTTAATAATTCAATTCATTTAGTTGCTTGGAAAGAGAATATAAAATTATCAGATAAATATATTTTTTATATTATTTAAAATTTAAGAATTTTCCAACAAAAGAAAAAGAAAAATAGTAAATATAGATATCAATCGATTATAATTTCAAATTACACTGTATTCGATTATTTATGTATACGTCGTCTATAAATTCGATTTCGAATTTTATTATGATTACTTTGTAACTTAAATAAATCTGATGTGGACATTTGAAAAGGTTTTAAAATATTAATTAATTTTCTTCAATTTAAATATATTTTTTGTAACAAAATTTGAAAATAATTACGATTTATCAATTGATTAATGTATAAAATCACGGAAAATTTCATTTACTTTTTAAAACAAAAATTCTTCCGAATAAGTTTTTATACGTGTTTTTTTTTGCCACGGAATTAATATTTATAAGAATAATCCCGGCTTCTTTATTTAAATATTCTTTAGAATAATTTATGTAACCCGCTATAAAAATTTTAAGCACTTTTAATTCTTAATTTAAAAATTTGTATTCTAATTCAAAAAAGAAAAAAATCTGGCTTTTATACTCGTATTTTAACTTGACATGTTTACAGCGATTCGATAATACTTTAGAAAAAAATTTTAATTGTCGGATTATGATCGAATTCGTCAGCCGAGTGTAAATAAATCCGATCGGAAGATATTTTATTATTTCGAAACGATTAAAAAATATTATTACAATGTAACACGCGATTAAAATCGGGCGATTGCTTATAATTTTGTCGGATATTAAATTTAAATAAGGAATATAGAAATCGATACGACGCAATTTTAAATAATTATTTCATTTTCTTTCGGACGACCTTAGAAATTCAAAGGAAATTTGAAAAATAACGCTTTACTCGGCCATCCCTTCCATTTACAAATCGAAAAACTTTAATTATTATCCAGGAAAAAAATCTAATAAGGTATAAACGAATAAAAGTAATCGGTCTTGTAATTTGTTTAACAATAAGCCGGGCCACTTCCGTTCGATCTGACGTCCTATTCGACCTTTGGCGTTCCGCACCTGATCTTCCATTCTTTTTTCCCCGGACCTACTCTAATTCGCTGGCGCCATCTACGGAGCTTCGACCGACGTCCGCCAGGGGCGGATTGGCTAGTCGCGGCATCGATCGGGCGGTGGATACCTGCACCGCGCAGCGGAGTAGGTGCGCCTATTGGTAGGCCTAGCAATGTCGGCGTAGCGGTCGTGGTTTACTCCCGCTGGATTATTCTACGGCGTCGGTTATGGCCGAGAGTTGATCGCGTACGGCCATGGTGGACCTCGGCGGATATGTCATCATCTTGGTTGAGACCACCGACAAGAAGATCAAACTTTACGGTCAGTCCTTTCTTTACTTCTTTTAAGAGAAAAGCCGTCTCCTCCCCATTATCCGAAAGAACGTGCCGGAGTTGGTTCTCCGTCCGCTTCCACATCCGCAAAAATTAAACGACGCTATTCTTTCCGCCCTCCGACGGTCGTGGCACCAATCCCCATTTTTGTCCTCCTTTTGGCGGGAACGCGATTAATCGATTGTTTCGAACCGGCGGCGCTCGAATGTAAATAAAATTAATTCGCGCCTCCCTCCTTCAATTAGTTTGGAGAAATACTCCGAGCGGAAACTATTCCTTTTTTCGTCCCTCGTTAACCACGCGTCTTAAATGTAATTCGTCTCATTTTTTTTTTAATTTTTACCCGTTTAAGTTAAGAGAAATCTGGCTCGGGAGGATTCCGGATATCGTAAGGTTAAAGGGGAAACGGAGGTCGGAGATAGTTTAGAAGGCACCTCCGAATCCAAATAGATCCGTACCCAAAGGGCATTCGTATCGAAGCATTCCTCGACGGTTTGCTTCATTCCTTTTATGGAAGAAACGAAGATGGAATTTTAAACCTTTAAAGTTATATTTGCGAAAGATATCGAAATACGCTTGCATTTTCTAGTTCTATCGAATATTTTATTGGAAAGACAGTAAAACTGGCGACGCTCGCTCGCTTAGCAGGTCGCTTGCACCTGACACCTGCATCGGGTGACATAGAGGTCCGGACGTCCTCCGGTGCCTTGGCGCGACCGAAATTTTCAAATGGTGAACCATTTGCAGGCGGGTGCCCAAAGAGTTTGGACGGGACATAGAATGATACGAAGTAAATCGTCAGATTCAGTTTTATAATTGAGTCGGTTTTAATTGTAAAAAAAAAAGTTCTCCCCGCTAACGTGTCCCGCATTCTTGTCGTTCTTTTTAAAATTCCTTTCTTTCTTTCTGGAATATACCGAGAGGGGAGAGCAAAAATTCTTTTGTTAGTGACACTAGGTCAAATAGCAAAATTCAAGCTCGTCTCTGTTTTAATGACCATCGTTTATTTTTTTAATTGCGAAACGTTAATTGCTAAAATATTAAAACATTGCGTAATTTTAACGATTTGAATGTTAAAGCAGCGCTCTCCTTAAAGATATCGACGATCGGTTAATACGGTTTTTCCAACGTTATTGGAATTGCATCGTCGGTAATAAATATTTTATGCTTATTTAACAAAACGCAATTAACTAGAAACCAAAAACGGGATGGGAGGAAAGTAAGTCTTTTATGGGTTTGCTTACAAGTGAAATATTTTTAGGATTTGGAGAATTTTTCTGGCGTCCGTTCGGATTTGTGCAGTTATATCGAGCATAAGAAAGGAATGGTTTCTGTTTGATTCTCTCTCGCTACTTGATAGCTAACCGTTTGTCGATCGATACCGAGCTTTCCTAGCATCCGGATCCCGGATGAATGACGTCACCACGACAACAGATGCAGCTGGAAAGACATTCGAGAGAAACGAGTGTTTATCACACCGTAGAAATAAGAGAGTCTAATATACAGATATTCTCGTCGTAAAAAATAACGTTCTGACCGTGCAATAACTACATTTCCAAATTGCTATTCGTAGCCAATAGTCATCTCTAAATTGAAATACCTTATTATATAAATATTTTGGCATATTTGAAATTATCCTTTTCTCCAGTAAATTTTTGAACGAAAAAAAAGTGGAAATTACGGAGAAAATTTAGTCGAAACGGACAAAAATTGAATGAAAATTGTCTATATATTTGAAAGATAGGGGAAAAAATAAATGAAATAGACGGTAGCCTTGAGGTGTATAGAGACGCTCCCTATTTCGGGTGAAAAACCTGCTCCAAGGTCACCACTCGGCGCTGTCGTCGACTCGTTTGAATGTCTTTTGTTCCAAATAATATCGGTATCCGATCGCGATCCTATACTAGATAAAACCAACCTGTTTAAGCTGTTCCGAAGTAACAATGTTAATGATAACCCCAACTTATTTCCTGAAAAAATCTATTGTTCGAACCTCTAGAAAAAAAATTTATAATGGAAATTTCGAAAATTGGTAATAACCATCTATGTTCTAACGTGTCTACAAATTACTTCATTTGGCATATGATGACCTCAGAGGTCACGCGGGCGTCTCTTTGTGGAGACGTGAAGGGTGTAGCGTGTTCTTTCTCGTTTCGTTCACTTCCTGGATCGAGTCTAAACAGAACGTTAATGTGGCATCGTTAAATCTCGTTTCGTCTTTTGTTTGCCTCTGGAAATATGGCAAAGACAATTATGAAAATGTTTTTCGTAAAAAAAAGAAACTAATTTATAGATTAATACAATTAAGAAATAAGAAACCTCGTATTAACGGTTTTAAAAATAAAAATAAGGCAATAAAATTTCACAATTTTTGACAATACATTTTTTCGGCGACAAACTACAAACTATTTGTTTATCATCGAGCAACGCTTATCGAACGAAACTTTAATACTTTATATTATAAAAATTAAATAACTTATTTATTTTTTATGAAATAATATGTTATACCGTAAATTTTTTTTAATAGATTTAGTTTTCCCTTCTCAGTCAAACATTCATTTTCTAGTCTTATCTAGTGAAGTTCCTTCCTTTTTGTACTTCTGTATTTTATTCTACTATTATATTGGAAAAAATATAATTACTTATCTTTATATAAATACAAAAAGTTTCACTCGTTTTGTTATTCATTTATATAAATTGAAGTTATTCGGTCAATACGACGAATGATTATTATTGCGCAACGAGACATAGAATTGCTCGAACAAAGGACTTGAAAACTTTTAAATAAATATTTATTCAATAAAATAAGCTTTTAGTGATTGTTGTTGCTATTTTCTCTCGATTTACATTTTGGTAAAACTAAGGCAATTTGTTACGGGGAAAACTCCAGACCATTAATAACGGTGTCATTACATATCGATAAAAAATAAATATTTAAGATTAAGGTTATCGCCAACGGATCGCGGTTAGAAAGAGAATCAAAAGCGATGGATAACAAATAACAAACCAATTTGTTTGATAAATTTATCTAAAATATAATAAAAAAAGTAGATCCAATCGGTTTTGGAATAATAAATAATGCACTCGGAAACCAACGAACCCGATATCTTTAAATTTTTATGTAACTATTTTATCTAAATCGAATTTTTACTGTACTATATCTTTTAAGATTTTAAATTTATAATTTATTGTGTAATATTTTTTAATCCCCGTTTTATAGAATTAGTTAAACAAAACTCTAAATACAATTATTAATATTTAATTATCAAAAAGAATGAACAAATTTTTTAGAATATTTTTAAATTAACAAGAATTTAAGTTTAAAAAAATGATCAAAATAATCGAACATTTTGATTGTTATCTACACAAAAGAACTTCAGTAAATTCAAGATTTCGGGGACATATAAAGAATATTGTCTCTCACCTTGGAGATACTTAAGCAGTTTTTCCATAGAACTGATGTTTAGGAAATGCAATTTACTAAATTAAACTCTAACGAAATCGCTATTAAAGGACGAAAAGATTTAAGTAATCTGTGCAAAAATATTTCGAGGCCGTTAATTTAATCGTAATTTAATATAATACGACGCTTAATCGTCTTATCTTATAAAATATATTTAGAAAGATATTTTATACATGGACTTACCAAAGTGTTTTTTTTTTTCTTTTAGATAATTTTACTTTTAATTTGAAACCATCACATAAATTAACGAAAATGTTTATATCAAATTTAAAAGTCTGCACCAGAGATTTACAACACGAGATATAATTTATTTAAAATTAAAATTAAAAGAAAATTAAAATGTCAGTATATATATATAAATGTATAACGTGTTATTCCATTTAAATAAATAATCATTATTGCGTCTTCCGTTCGGTTTGACGCATAGCGAAGGTAGGAATATTAATATATGAGTAGTAAAATAAATAAACATGAATTATGTTTTATTATAGGTATATAAAAAATAAAAGTATACAATATATAATATTATTATAATTGATGTTATCACGTAAGAAATAGTATTAATTAATAATATAAGTTCTTTTGTTTCTAAGATCTTTAGTGTTTGAATTTATCTAAGTACAGTATAACGACGAGAAGAAACTAATTAGTTGTTACGTATAATTATTTTCTAGTTAATACAATGCTATTTATTAATAATAAACGATAGTTTATCGAATTAGATCGCTTATTAAAATGAAATTTGAGTAAAATTATTGAGCCGAAACTATCAAAAAATTAATTCTTCTGTACATATTATCGAATTAAAAATATTTCATTCGTTTTCTTTGTGCCGAGTCTATGTAAAATGCATCGCCGATTACATAAGGTATAAAATTTAATACTTAATTATTAACCAGATCCGTAACAATTTAATCTTTGTTAATTACATTTACGTATGCATTTTTCGAATTTTTCCAATTAAATTTTAATTCTGTAAAGTATAAGTCAATTTAATAGAATCTTATAATTTTGAATTATTTACAAAAGCAATTTATATAAATCTGTACTTCATAAACGACTCGTCTTTTGCTACGTTAAAATTTTTAATTAAATATAAAAAGAATAAAATTAAATTAATATAAATTAACAAAAGTATTTATGCACTATAATACAGTATAATATAATATAATATCATAGGAAAAGATTGTACTGTATATTAAAGAAGAGTGTTAGATCCATAATTAACATACTGCATATATATAGAATAAATTGTTAAAAATTCAATTTTGTCTTTCATACTAAATCTTGTACCTTTATTAAAAATTAGCATTTATTGTGATTCACTCGATGATTATACGTTGAAAATAGTCTCTTATAATCAATAATTTAAAATAATAGCTATTCTCTCAACGATAATATTTTTAATCTACAAATTAATTAATAATTTAATTATAAAAATTGTTTATAGACAATCTTAAATTAGTTTTTTAAGAATTCAAAACAACTAAAAGAAGAAAATATATCGGTTGCTTATCAAATAAATCTTCGCTATCTTGAAATGAATGCATGGGCTTTTCATGAATTATCTAATAGTATCCAAGATCTTATCCTATAGAAAAGAAAATTAATTTAATCTAAAAATAAAAAAAACTATTTTATATATGTATATGCTTATATATTCATAATTTAATTGCAGTGAAAGAAAAGTATACCGGTCATTAGTGATATTATTATCAGTATTCTCTTGATAACAATTAAGTTAAATGCTGATCATATCTAGTATTATAGATGGAGATTTTATATTAATAACATCTGTAGACAATATATGCAAATCGTTGTGGTATTTTTTGTTGAAAAATGTCAAATTCTAAATAAATATAATAAATTTCTTTCGAGTTATAAAAATTACTCCACGCAGTATCATTTTTTACGAGTTTTTCACGTTTAAAACTATTCGTTTCGCAATATTTTAGAGAAGTTTAATGGTCCGAATGCAAAATAATTTTCTTGAGTAAAAAAAAGGTTTAAAATTAAAATCTTAATATAGTATTTGTATTTGAATTAAAAGTTGTTCAGAAACACCCGTTCATAAATAATCTTTGTATTTTTTAAAAATAAATATATAATTATTAATTTTGATACAGTACATTTGTGTGTTGCAAAACACGTTGTAGACAAGTAAGCTATTGTAGACGAAATTTAGTATTTAACAATCCATATCGTACTTACGACAATTAACTCTTAGTCATTATATAACTTAAGGCTACACGCACATAACATACATAACGATAATTTAATAATTTTAATATAGATTTATTCTGTTTTCCAGTAGTTTATTGTTAAATTACCTATAAATATTTTGTATTAATTAATATTCAAATATAAAATAATCTGTAATTTCAATAATAATAGATAATTTATTTATAGTTATCTATATTCAGTCATATAATATATTAATATTACAAGCTTATTGTTGTATAGGTCTATTAACAATGATTAAGATTATACAATGGTATTCGCTTGGCTAGTTACGGTTTAGAATTGCCCAATCATAAAAGAACAAAAGTCATCTTTACACAAGTTTCAATAACTAAAACTGTTTTTTAAGTTTAAATTAGTATAAAAAGCAAAGTAATATTTATTGCTTTAAAAAGAATCAAACCCTATTATTTACTTATTAAGTAAATTATTTATTGTCAATGCAATATCTTAATTATGTAGTTTTTATAATTCGCATTACGAGTTACTGTACTGTTTTTTTGCTTTTTTTAATAAGTATAAATGACGATTTATAATTATAAATCGATGTAATTAAATACTAATTTATAAAATAAAAATAATTACTCGTTGACTAAACGTTTTGTAAAAACTAAAATTGATAAAAATTATCAATAATAATAATATTGCGTACTGTTTAAAGTAAATGCATTATTAATTCTGATGTAATAATAAAAATAAATGTTCAATTTTACCAAAAATTGAGAATTTGCATAAAGTAAATTTGATAAATTACTGTTTATCATTATTCTAAACAATATATATATATATATTTTAATCTTTATTGAAGAAAATTAGAATTGACTTAAATACTCTTTATTTCGTTTAATACCCATTATGATTCGATATAATCTTTACAGTTCAGAAACTTTAAAAGATACCGAATTAAGAATATAAGGATTTTGTTAAATGGATCAAGTCAAATCGACGACTCGGCATGGCTATTTTTATTTATTACGACACTATCCGTTTTCCTCGTCTTTTCTTTCTGATAAAGTCGTTTTTCGCTTTAATTCTATTGATTTTTTTTTGTGAAAAAATGCTTAAAATATAAAATACGTAATCACCAATTTCACAAGATAAACGATAAAAATCTCAAAGCTTAACAATATTTTTATACACGTTTCACTTCTGGAGAATCTCTTAGACGCATTCCCTTGTAGATATACGTTCGATGCCTCGGGGATTTACGACAGAGTTTATAATAGTACCTTTGTTTCAATCCGTAGATAAAAGTTTTAAGATTATATCTCTTTAAAAAATTATAATTTTAATTGTCGATATTATCTATAATACATGTAATTACAATGATAAAAAGCGTTAATATAAAAATTAGTATTTGAAATATTGTAGATAGTTTATAATTTCCGATGTAAAAGAGAGAAGAATTAATGTTTAGGTACTGTAGTGACGTGTAGTCTAATGAAGGTAATGCTAAGGATTAATAACTATTATTTCACCTTTATAAATGAATTTCATTTGGAATTATGAGAAAAATTTAAGTAAAAATAAAACATTTTTTGATAAGAAATACATATTCAAGAAAATCCAACGCTAGTTTATGACTAAAATCATAAATAATGTAAAACGTGGAAATTCCTTTCGTATTCGACTTCGTAATATCACTTTACGATTTGAATTTGAAATCAGTCATTCCTGCATATAAATAAGCGGTGTATAAATATATATATATATATATAATTTTAAAAAATCATACGTAAATATTTATATAAAATCGCGAAGCAAACAGGAATTGATAATACTTGTGCAAATTTCAATAAAGCCATCGTTTACAGTTACAGCGGAATAAGTCGTACGGTTATAATTATTTTATTCCAATGATTTTATTTCGTATAAAAGTTATAATGATAGACTAACGTCTCTATTTAATTTCGCCAGATGGCGCCATATGCCTATAAGTAGCTAATGGATCTCTGGATCACCGGAAATGGAACCATTAAAAGAAAACAAAAAATTGTCCCGTGTCGTGACAAATTTCGCCATCATTATGAGAAGTTGATTTACTTTGCTAGAAGTCTTTCGTGAATGGCCCAGCCCGTTCGTGCATTTAGAGCGATTTTTATAGTTGTTTATTTTAGAAAGATTGATGGTAACGTCTTCGCATTTCGAAACATTTTAAAGCTTATTTCAATCAGTTTTCGAATGTTTTTATAATTTTTAAAACAATATGGCTGAAGCAATGTAACCTATATGCTTTGTAACGCTGACTAAGATGACAAAATAAAATTATCGATAAAAAAACAAGTAATTTGTTTTGCTGATTAAGAGTTTTTACGATACAATACCTATACGATACAAATCGATACTAGAAAAAATGAAAAGAATTTATGTAAAAACTGAGACAAACACTCTTTAATTAATTAATTAATTATTACTTTTTAAACTTCAATTTGATGGCTCGTTCACGGATTAAAATATTATTTATTGATAATAAATGTTATGAGATAAAGCGGTGTATAAATATATATATATATATATAATGACAATAGCAACAAATTAAATAAATTATTCAAAGCTCTAGGCAAAAATGACACTCCCAAGAGACAATTCTTTACGCTTAATTTTTCCTTTGTGAAAAATAAATGGATTCTGCTTGTAGGATCTAAATATTTTCTTTTCCTGTTTAAAAGATAAATCTCAAAGATTTCAATTTCGAATATAGTTTCTATATAATTGATTTGAATTACAATCAATAGAATGGCTTTTTAGATAAAGAACTGAGATTTACGTATCATTTCGATACTATTATTAAACATCAGATGGAGCCACCGTATAAGAAACCGTGATCGATGAGCTCGCATCATTTTCGAGATATTTCTTAGCAGTGGTAATAGTTATGGCACCCTCGAGAGTAGATCGCTCCCCTCGGTGTAATGAATTGAACTAAGAAGGTTAAGCATAGAAAATAAACGAGAAAAGACCGGTTTTAAGTTTACTTCTTTTCCATTATTGAAATTGCTGTAGGAAAGTTCGAAATAGAAAAACAAAATTCCAAATGTTGAAGAGGTGGAAAGAAGGGCATAAAAGTTTCAAAATTTAAACTTAAAATATTGTATAACATTTATTTTTCGAGACGTTTATAGATTAATGAAGTAAAAACGCATTCGTAAAAATTTTATCACGATAATATTTATAAATGATTTTAACTGAAATCTAAGATCATAACTTAATTATGTTACTTTTATCGATTTTATTTCGCCAATAATTTATTCTATAGAGCTTTCGCTATGCACAATATTTCAGATATAAATTAATTATATGCTTCTCAATTTTTCAAATTAACAACATAAATTTCATTTAAAATATTTTATAATTTTTAACTTTTAATAATAATCTACTCTAGAGAACAATTAAATAATTTATATTATCTCAAAAGTCGAAATGTAATTTCTACTCTCGGATTAAATAATCGTTATTTTCTGTTTCTGTTTGTTAAATGATCGTAATTAACTGAAATGTAAAAAACGAAGAATGGATTTAATTGAAAGTCTCGTTAAAAAAAAGATTTTTGTCTTTCTTTGCCATAAGAAATTAACAGACTTACTTTCTAAGTAATAACAGTATTGCGCTTTGTACAGTACACGAAAAGTACAACAAAATAAAGGAAATACAGTAGTTTAAATTTGCGAGAGTCGTGAATAAACTGTAACAATGAAATGTTTCGAATAGATTGATATGTTTTCTCACTACACAATAAACGGATTTTATTTGTAGGTTCTCCAGCAGATAGAGCGGATTTGGAAGTGGGAGATGAAATCTTAGAAGTGAATGGAAGAACTCTAGAAAATTGTACTCATACCGAAGTCATTTCGCACATACATCAGGTGAGTTAAAAGCTTTACTTATCCAATGTTTTTCTTGGTTTTACATTCAACGAATAAAAAAAAAATTATGTATTATGTATATCGGCTAATTAATAGTGTAAGTTATGAGTCTTAATTTTTTATCCGGAAATATTTCGTAATTTCTTAAATAAAGCTTTGTTAAAGATACCTAATTACCTATAAATTAATATCTAAAAATAAAAATTTAAGTCTTAAAAACTGCAAGAAAAAGTTCGAGAGAAATAGATGAGACCATATCCTGTCAGGAAGCATAACTACCTGTTATCTACCTGAATTACCTGATTTACCGGAGAAAGAATCGTACCGATAGTCTAGATGAGAGTCGGGTCATCGCACTAACAAACTGCCACCCCTCTTATGATTCGGAGAATGGACTTAGACCGTTTCCGGCATGGCGGCTTGTTGGTGTTAATGTAGGACAGTTTACAAAACACAGAGGAGGTTCTCCGTTTCAAAAACATTATCTTTTATTCTTTCAGTGTATTCGTTCTCGAACGATATGTCTGCGGGTGAAGAGAAAAACGGGTACGAAATTGGGTGAGTGCATTTATTTTAAAGACTAAAATAAAGAAATGTTTCGCGATAAAGATAGAAGAAACTTTACCTGTCTGTTTTCGTTTTATAAAAGTGTATTATACTAAACAATACCCGTGTGTTCTTACTATTATACACAGAAAGTCGGTTGTGTCATTAATTCGGCTTTGTTTATTATCGTAAATTATTTATTTAATTTATGCGAGTGTACAGTACGACAAATAGATTGCATAAATATTTACATAGCGATACATTTTGATAAATTTGGAAAAAGAAAAAAATGTAGTCGTAGCAGTTTAATAATCGGCGGATATCTTTCATAAGCATCTACAGATTTTGTGCTAAGGAATTGTATTACTTAGCTTATATTTATTGATTTTGCTCGTATTTATTTATATATTTGATATCGAAGATTTCCCGATATGCATTAGTTTATTTTCTATATAAATAATACGAAACGATATGTTATTTTTATCTAAATTTATTTAAAGCAAAAACCACGGGTATAATTTGCTTAGCGTGTGTCTCTCCATTGGTTTTCATTCGTATTATGGAAAGAAGCCGGAACGGAATCGCGTTTCCCAGGAGAATCAGCAGAGGATGACCTGTTAGAAAAAAGAAACAGTCGGTAATTGGATGCTGGAACTGCAGCTAATGCCAAAAAACTTATTTTTTATTTCAGTCGCATTTAATATATTTAAATATAGTCTATATATAGCCTATATTTACACCGAATACTTTTTTTTTTTTTGTAAACTAGACATCTGATGGAATCTCCGGATAGAATGGGTGCAACTAAGCAATAGCTATTTAAATTTTACATTCTGCACAACTATCTTTTTTCCCTTGGTTTTTAAAAAGAAGATAAAAAATTTTAAAGTTTTTTTAGAACGCATTGCATAATCTGAAATCAAAAGAAAAATGTCAAAGAAATGCTTCTGGTAAATAATTACTACTTTTAACAGGTTAAAAATATAATATGTGCAACAAAAACTTGTGTTAAATATATCCGCGCCCAATAATAATCAATTTATAATTAAGCTAAAAATAATTAACTCTGATTTAATCTGTCCTGTGACGTGGAAAAAATCAGAAATAGAAATAGATTTTACGCTCTTTTTTTTAATTAAATATTCATTATCCAGAAGACGGTACATTTTTTTAGAAAATGATGCCTAAAACGATAATTGCTTAACTCAAATTTAATTGTATTCGATGGAGAAACCGACAGATCTGTATATGATAATACAACCCGATTGTAGTTTTCGAAATTTAATTGCTTATGCAATTGTCACGAATTCGGTGGAGTATAGCACACGTATCTCGCATCTTAATTTCCCATCTCGAAGCTAATTATTGAATGATGAAAAATCTCTTTTATCGTCGTCTCCGAACCATTACGAAGACCATCTTTTATAATAGACGTTTGAATGTCCGATTCTCCTACGTTTTTCCTAATTAAATCTCTTCTACGACTCGGATATCTTTATTTTTATTTTTTAAAATTGTTAATATTAGTACGTCTTCTCTCGGATTTATCAAGATTTACCATTTATTCCTGCATTGGTAACGAATATTATACGAAAAACATTGGTCGATGTCTTTCTTCCTCGTGAAAAAAGAAAGATTTCGAGAAATCATTTTTCGTTTTTCCGATAGCATCCTCATCGCACGCGGCATTGTAGCTCTTCCCGAAAACGGAAGTCATCTGGAAATCGCCGGAAGTTACAGATCCGGAAATTCGTAATTTATCGAGTGGCTCCATCTATCCTTAATCGAATGCTTTAACAAACTTTAATCAGTTCGAAACGCCTTATCGAAAAGATTCGACTCTTTCATACAATTTTCGGTGTTACGTCGAATGAATTTGCCGCCTTCTATTGTGTATAGTACTAATGAGTGATGGAACGATACAATTGATAATGGAACGGGTTCGTTGAAGTGTGACTACAAAGCAAAATACTGTCAATGGCCTCTTTCGGAACAGTCAGATCTCGACAAGTGGTTTTTATACAAGGGCATAATATTGGATCGATGCCCCAAATGTCGGGAAAAAAAGATAAGCTTACGTAATAATTTTCTTGAACGGGAATATTTACAAAACAGTCTTAAAATACTAAATTTTAGTGTATGTATAGTCATCAAATGGTACCGTCCCGGTGATGTTTATATTAAGCTTGCAGTTGGCCTAAAATGGCAAGCGAGTATCAAATATAGCAGCGCAGATTTATCATCCTCGCCAGACCGAACAATTCGAAGGACGACGAGATGTTAGCAATAGCGAGACTTCTCATAAAAGATTTCCTCATTTTGTCTAAAACTGACGTCACCTAGAGTCAATTTTCATTTTTGCCGTAACAGCGAAAAATACGAGGAAGGAAAATCGATTAACTTTAAACTTTCTTTTTCGTTCTTTAAAATATAAATTTAGGAATTACGCTAACGAGATATTACAACTATTACCTATCAAATATTTCGACGATTGCGTTTTTAGTAATTGGATTTTTGATAAGGATTCTTTCTGCCATCTGCAATTTTTTATCCGTGGCTAAATGCACGTTCTCTCGTTGCGTATTAAAATTAATAATTCTATGTGAATTGTAAGTATCATTTTTTATAGTTACGACGATTTATCAAGTTTTTTGGGGTGCCGTTTAAATGTCACGTGTCTTCGTCACGATGTACGAAATCGAAAGCTACACAGTTTGCTTGTAACCATAGCAACGGTTGTCATATCAACCGGGGTTTCTCCATTCATATTTTCGATTGTTCTCCCGGAGCTAAGAAGTTCTCAACGTAAATTTTAGAATTTGTTTCTGGCCGTATTTATTTTAAATTATTAATATGCATTAAACTAATGCTTTAATTAATCGATTATTATACTTCCCTATTGCGGAGTTATGAAATTAATTAGAAAATATTCCCGAATTCGTTCTTAATTTATTCCATGCTTTAATTCGATCTTCTTAGTTGAGCGAATCCAATTTGTTTGCCGTGTATAAGGGTGTCGAAACACTACAACTACATTCTTGACGAATACCATTTGTTCCGGAAACACGTCCTAAATCGATTCAAAATTGGAAAATGCGACTACGAAATTTGTTTTATTCTCCGTTTGTGCGCATTCTTCTGCGGGAAAAAACGAATGCGATAAAGAAAATAATCCGTGCTACTCGTAGACGATTGCATCCCAACGATTCGCTCTCCCCACAACGCAGAAAATCGACTCGTCTGCAACAGCATTCCTGTCCCTCGTGACGTCACTGGGCGGGGGGGTGGATTCGGCATTTGCCACGTGAACCAGTACCAGTGTGCGATGTGGTGTGGCGTGTATCGGATCGGATTTACTCCCTTATATTAAAATACTCCGATATACGAAAGGTGAGTCGATTTCCGACGTTGTTACTATACGTAAGCAAAATATCGCAGGTGAGTCTAAACCGGCTCTGGTCGAGGTGACGGGGAGGGTAGCTGTTTATAGGCCTTTAGTACACGTGTAAATTCCCAGAAAGACGAGAAGAATTTAATCTTTACGGTTCCAGGTAACGATTGTCGAAATGGACGCATTTTATTTTGAACGTTTCTAACGAAATATTCAAAATCTGTACTTTTTACTTTACTTTAACGTAGATTAGAAAAGTAACGATCGCTAAATGTTATGGTCGAATTAATACGGGGTGTGTTGCCAATGGCAATAAGAGTTGTCTCGCGCGTAATGCTAAGCGGCTTTCTGGCAACGGCTATATTAATACGAGAAAATCATTTTCCGCCTTCCCGAAGTGCTTGCAGTTAAAATTAAGTCCGAAATCTGTTGACACAAGATTTACCAAACGGCGATTTGTCGCGATATTAACGTTTATTAAACGACGTTTTCTTTCCCGAAGTTTTCCTTAATAAAATCATTTTTTGACGTAGATTTAATTCTATACGAATTCGGAATTTCCAAAATATTCAAAACGCAAACATTTTAAATTTTCTATATAATCACTTGCAGATGTTCTCCGGAGCGATTGGTGTAGCTTTAATCCAACAGCGGGTTGACGTTTCTTCCCGTTGCCCTCCAAAGAAACTTCGTTCTCCCTTAGAAGACGTCATTTCCTTCGTTGACGTCACGAGAAAAAGTGCCGGAATGATTCGATGGAAGTTAGACTTATACGTAATCAAATTTTATGTAGCATTCGTTACTACGCTCTGCCAGATTCGCATTGTAAAGAGTATGGTCCGCGGTACATTTTTCCGTTAATAGTATCGAAAATAAACTTAAAACGTTTGATTCGGTCCGTAAATTAAATACACTCGTACTAATGCAGTTTATGAGCCACTGACCCGGTCACCGACTCGTTATTTGTAAATGAAAAAAAAAAAAAACAGGTGTATGGAATCCACATACCTTACTCGTCGTTCGGGAATAAGGAACGTGAAGCGATGATTATCGAAGCGGGTTATCGATCTTGCGAGTAAACAAACACCCCGACGATTACGCGACTTAATGATACAGAATCTAAACCTTTACATCCATAAATTCACTTAATATATATAAGAAATTTTCAGTCGATAGCTTTGTGAAATATTATTTCGAAAGTTTTTTTTTTGGCTGTGAAGAGACAAATGATAGTAACTAATAATACTTTGTCTATTTTTATCGCAACAACAGTTACTAGAATGAGAAAAAAATGTTTCGCGAAGAAATTGTAAACGAAATTACTCGAAAAAACAAGCTTTCTATTTGTACGACTACGGATACGGTCGTACGGACTGTTGATGACGTATGTTTTAAAGTAACAATATTAAAACTCACCAAATTCTTGTCATTCTTCACTTTGTTAAACAAAATTCTGTTTTGCTCGATCGTGGCGTTTACTTCTATCTACAGGACTTGGACTTTATTTAGAAAAAATACCAAAATTCCTTAGATAAATCTGCTTGCGATGATGTAACTCAATCTTCTTTCTATGAAAATCAGCACTTTTAAACTTGTATTTTTTGTTTTATATATATGAAATATCTATAGTCTAATATCAAGATTCCATACAAATTTAATTATAATCTTACTGAAAAATTTTATATTAGGAGGATAACTTTGTCTCTAATGTTTATTATTATAATTTCTTTATAAAAAAAAACAATAACATTAGAGATGTATTGGTAAATAATAACCTGACGAAGCATTGGAAAATATTTTCGGAAATATATCTGAAACATAATGCTGTTTTGCGTTGGCGAAACAATTTTTGAAAAATAAATTATGTAAGGACCATAATAGAATNTGTACGTGACTTCGGTACCAGAAATTCAGAGTGCAACATTAGAAAGAGTAAAAAAAGATAAACTTAAAAGGAGAAAATCTAGTGGAAGTGGACAGTCTATTCCGGCGGCATCGAATGCCAATGGTCCCCAAGGTGATTCTGCTCCGATAGAACAAGAACCTCACGATCAAGAACTCGAATTAAAACAAGAAATCTTAGACGAAGACAAAGCTCGAGAAGATTTAAGACTCGTAAGCTATAACTCTTCGCCAAAGAAGAGGGTCCAAGATCAGTCGGAGATCGAAGGTGCTCAACCCGACTTTTCTCTTCTTACCTATAGTTCGTCACCGAAAAAGAGGCCCCTTTCCGGTCCTCAAAGGTCGACCGAAGAAGAAGAGGAAGACAGTCGAGAATTTCCGGTGATTGAAAATTCTTCATCGTCATCGGAAGATTTTTCACTCCTTACTTATTCTTCGTCGCCCCGGAAGAGGCCCGTTTCTGGTGACACTACTCAACCCTCTTCTTCGTCTATTAGCGAATCGGTCACTTATAGGGAACAAAAGGAACAACCCGTGACGAAAGTAAACAACATCGATAAACTAACGGATCGGGCGAGTTAAATACGCTTTAATGTTTAATCTTATTATTTATGTAGTATTAATTCTATTCCATCTGAAATCCGTTTGCGAATATCCTTATTATTTTTAATGAACACACACTGCCTGAGGTAGATCAATTTGTGTAAGAAATTATTGATGCGTTTGAACTTTAATAAAGTTACACCTTATATAATATACAGAAATTTTTAAATTTTAAATCACTCGAAATCTTGTAAACAGGAAAAAGTCTACACTTAAAATAATTGGAGGTAATCAAACATATTCGTTTAACGTACGAGATTCAGTTTTGAAAACATTTTTGAAACGTAATTATAATTTATTATTTTTGTTTATCGTTATTGATAGCCGACCTTTTTTGTAATAATAGGATATCTGGAAGATTGAAAAAGGAATTTTGATCGGAAAAGGGATTCGAACTCTTGTCCTATGTTTAAAATTCGATTCATTCGTATGTCTCTCACTAACCAGACGAATTTATGCTGTGAATCGAATGAACGTAAATTCGTATTTTTTCAATGAATGGCAATGTAAAATTTCTGAAATGTTACCTCTCGTACTCTGAGAACATTTAAAGTACACTTTATTGTTGCAATATATTTAATTCTGAAAATACTGAAACTTTTTACGTGTAAGTTTATAAGTGTGTATATATGTGCATACGTATGTGTATTACAGAAATAATACTTATGACAAAGTATTAAGAAACATTCCTTATTTCATGTAGTATCTTGGAATTTGAATAAGTCTAATAAGTTTAACTAAAGTTAATCGGTTTTCAATTTTTTTTAAGTTAATAAATCCTATTCTCAAGTTTAGTTTACGTAATTGTCTGTAAATATCACATTGATATTGTGTTTATTTTTTAAATTGCCATTCAGTATTTTGATAGAACAGAAAAACAATGTTTCAATGACACAATAATTAAAATAAATAACTTCTCCCTCTATTTTTGAAGAAGGAAATAAATACTTAAAAATTCACAAATTTCTGAAATTTGTCAGCTTGAAAGGTTTTACTATTATAAATTCTTAACGATTAAAATCATAATCATTCACTATTAAAGTCATAATCATTCACGATTAAAGTCATAATCATTCACTATTGTATATTGTAAAATATTTACTGCATAACATTTTTTTAAAATTCAAAATCATTCAATTTTTTAAGACCGAAGCTTTTTACCGATCTTTTCAGATAGGTAAAAATTATTTCGATGATGTCTATTTACACTGTGTACTGTAATTCTTATAATAATAATAATAACACGAAATTGGTTCTTGTTTTTTTCTGACTCCATTTATATTCTGCGGTATAGGGTAAGTGGGGTAGGGAGGTTTATTCGACATCCGTAAATAATTATAAAACGTTCATTAGAAATTTGTAATAATATAAATGATGCAATTTCATATTATTTAAATAATAATACGTTGCGCTATATACATAATTACGCCGTATTAGCAATAATATTATATTTTCATTCTTTGAAATATTACATTGAAAATAGTCTTCATTGAAAACTTAATTTCTATTTATTATATACTAATTTCTTTAAAAAGTTATAAGATTAATTTTTTTTTCAGCGTTAGATTTAGCACAGAACGTTCATGTCCAAGATGCCTTCGTCATTGCCGTTGAGCAGCAGGCGCGAGAAAGGCTCGAACGACTATCGGCCTTACGAAAAATCAAGCCTATTGACATGACCAAATTGTCTCAGGAATTAAACGAGTACAGGCCCCAGAACGAATCCGATTTGAACGGAGTAATTGAAAACAATCCAGTGTACGTGACTTCGGTACCAGAAATTCAGAGTGCAACATTAGAAAGAGTAAAAAAAGATAAACTTAAAAGGAGAAAATCTAGTGGAAGTGGACAGTCTATTCCGGCGGCATCGAATGCCAATGGTCCCCAAGGTGATTCTGCTCCGATAGAACAAGAACCTCACGATCAAGAACTCGAATTAAAACAAGAAATCTTAGACGAAGACAAAGCTCGAGAAGATTTAAGACTCGTAAGCTATAACTCTTCGCCAAAGAAGAGGGTCCAAGATCAGTCGGAGATCGAAGGTGCTCAACCCGACTTTTCTCTTCTTACCTATAGTTCGTCACCGAAAAAGAGGCCCCTTTCCGGTCCTCAAAGGTCGACCGAAGAAGAAGAGGAAGACAGTCGAGAATTTCCGGTGATTGAAAATTCTTCATCGTCATCGGAAGATTTTTCACTCCTTACTTATTCTTCGTCGCCCCGGAAGAGGCCCGTTTCTGGTGACACTACTCAACCCTCTTCTTCGTCTATTAGCGAATCGGTCACTTATAGGGAACAAAAGGAACAACCCGTGACGAAAGTAAACAACATCGATAAACTAACGGATCGGGCGAGTAAATGTTTAGTCGGTGAAGAACAAATAAAAGATACAGCTGATCGAATAGTTCATTCCATGGAGGGAATCGGTACCCTTAGGGAAATGGCTGTGGATGTGCCAGATTCATTTGTAGCAGTTGCCAAGGCACCACCTAGATATCCTCCACCCAAACCTGCCAATTCACCGATAAGAACTAGTCCGGTGGAAGATTGTGCAAAATCGGAAGCACTTAATGGAAGACTTCCCAAGCAAGGATCCGAAATGGAGCTTAAAAAGTTAGACAATCCCGAAGAGCATTTGGGAAGGATCAGGAAATACCAGGTATTTGCATTTCTTAACAGTAAATATCGGGTTTTATCTTTAAAATTTCACATTAATTTCGAATTTATTTTCCGAAAAACTTAAAATACGAAAAGATTATAAAGGAGCCAAAAAACAAATATTTTATAGTAGCCCATATTTTGATTTGAAAAATATTTAGTATAACACCACTCTCAAAATATAATTTTTAATACAGTAGCCCCTCGTTATATCGCGGATTCGGATTTATTGCGCTTTTTTGGCCATCGAATTTTAAAAGCACGTGAAGTCAATAAATTTTAAAATATCAGTTGCCAGTGAATTTCTTTTTGCAACGAAATGCGGTATTTTATTCCTACCATCGTCTTTGAAACTATCAGCAGTGTGAAACAACAAATTCGTATAAATAAGCAAAACTAGTGGACAGATCAATTACCATTTATGTTTTCTTTTGATATTAAAAGTTGCTTGTTTATTGGTTTTAAGTAGTCTCCTCGTGTAAAAGTTTCTGTGAATTCGAAATTTCAAATTCACCGCAAAATGTGCAAGGAAAAGATTTCTTTATTTCAGAACGGAAAGTTCTAAAATTTTTATACAACAGAAGCTTTTATTTTGCTTTTTAGAAAATTTTTACTCTAATTTTATAAGTTTCGATGTTCTATTGCAGTGTTTTTCAACCTTGAATACGCGATCCCTTTACAAGTTAAAAAATTCTGGCGACTCCCCTAGGGCCATATTAAAACTATATCAGTGATTTTAAAAACTATGTATTTAATTTTCTTTCTGTTGAGACAAATTATTGTTGATTAAAATTAAAATTTCGGAAGAATCGACAATAACATAACACACACAAAGTATAATTATAACATTGGGCACAGGGAGCTGTTGACCTTTTTATTTTAGGATTAGAATTTTCAGTTTCTTTTTTTTCTACTTTTTATTTCTTTTTGCAAATCAGCTCAACACTTTTTCGGCTATCACTTTCTGGGGTGGGTCGTAATTCTTGCTGAAATTGTAGTTTTTTTAATGTAGTGTAGGACCTACAAACACTTGTCTTTCTCTTTTACCCGCGACCCCCTGGGGGTCGCGACCCACAGGTTGAAAAACACTGTTCTATTGTATGTTCATATTTATTTTTTAAATTTTCTGTTACTGTATTTATAATTTTATTGAAAAATACAAATTACACGAATTTTTAGTAAGCGATTTATTGTAAAATATAGTACTGTATAATAAAATCTCAACTGATATTTTGTTTTTATATCGACAATATTTGTCTTTAAATGTCATTCTTAAAGAAACAATGTTGAATGGGGGTTTGTGGTATCGTTTACGTAAACGTCATTTAATACGATATAATCACGAATAAAATTCAGTATTGCAAAACTAAGCTTACTTTATACATCAGAAACACTTGCTGATAAAAGAATAGAGGATATATAATCATGCTAAAAGAATATAGCATGTATAATCTGTTTATTATAAGCCCAGAATTTTTAGTAGTCGGTTATATCATGCTCTTTCTTTGTCTCCCGACAAGAGCGATATAACGAGGGCTACTGTATTTCTGTAATTTTATTTAATGAAGTATATTGTATTCGAATTGTTCAAAACAATCAAAAAATATATTTCAATAAGTTAAAATTAACTTATTGAAATATATTTTTAAAGGAAATATTGTTTTAGTTTAAAAATTATATTTGAACTAAGAATTTATTATGATCTTTTTCTTCCACGTTTAGTCAACAAAATAATACATTATTACAAAAAAAATAAGTAAATAAAACTCGATACTGATATTAATGTAATATAGAGTATAGATATTTTAAAAATAATGAATTGTTCTAATAATTTTTTCAGTTTTAGTAATAAAAATCTAGATTTCTGAAGTCATCTCATCTATGTAATTTCAGAATTAGAAAATGGAACCGATTAATTTTTATATAAAACTTGATTTTTGACATATATAAATTAGGTTTTAAGCAAAACATCACGACGCATTTTAATTCTATTTGTCACTTAACGGAATGAATAGGGTTTATTAACTCGAATGAAGTCGAAGCTAAATATAGATAAAAATCGTCTAAGGTAGATGTAAAATATCAGTTTTGTTATACAATTAATATTAATCAAATTTGATGGTAAAAGTTGTACAACACTCCTCTTTAAATAATATACAGCGAAAATAAATCGGTCGTTTTCAAGATATGTAGATAAAGATTATTAAAACTAAATCTAAAATATGTATTGTTTGTAGTTCTTATAGCAAAATGAAAATTAAAAGATTTATCATAAAACATATTAAGTTAACTAAATTTTCGGAACCAATGAACGTATAACAAACACGTAATAAAGTTAATAAATGATGTCAAATTAAATATTTGAAAATTTAGCGAACATTTTAATTATGGTGTGCTTTCTCTGGATCGCAAAACGAAAATTGAATTTGAAAATTATTAATTATTTTCTAATTAGTGAATTAGTTAATGCGTTGATTAGTAGACTGTTATAATAGTTTTGTCGCAATATAAATATCGAAATGAATTTAAATGACGTAAGTTAATATATCTTTATAGTTTAGTATGGAAACGCATACTTCATCTAGAATATCGGTTAGCCAACAAGTTAAGAATTATTGCCACGTATATGCTCACTAAAACTTGTTTTAACTCATCGTGTTCCCTGAAGTAATGTTCTGAGAGGGAGGAAATCGAAGTGGAGTTACATATTTACATTGACATTTTACAGATAATTCTCGTAGCCGGAAGCCTGTTTTCGTGTTCGAAAAATTTATGATAGTTACAAATAAAGAAAACCTTTTCTGTTCACGAATTGCAATAAACTGATATTTGTATTCAAAACTTCCTACGCACATTTCTTTTTTAACACTTTTTATTATTTTTCGAACTATAATATAACTTATTTCGCAATTGAAAAATATCTAATATAAAAATGTAATTTAATCGAACACTTTCTAGAATTTTTAGTCCGAAAAATTCACTTGCATTAAAGTTAGTTTTAACGTAGGGAAAAATATAAAGCTTTTGCTAGTTTAACATAAAAGCATTTTATGATAAGAGATACAGAAAAGAAAAAATGGCTTTCTAAAACTATAGTGTAAAAGATTAAATTTAATATGGCGCTATATTTTACAATATCGTGGATTACACTAAAGTGCTTTTTAAATTTCGGCATTTATTAATTTATTTTGTCTACTTTTACCTACGTATTGTACATTTTTCTGTTTGCAAAATATAGCAGAAATTATTTTGCATTTAGAGAAATCCGAATTACTTTCTTGCATAATGCATTAACGTTATGATATGCATGAAACAGACATAATCGATTGCGTTTATCGATCTGTATATTTTTATTGTTTATTTTTACGGTAAAATTTTAATATTGCAATAAAAATTCTGCGCGATATTTTTGCAAATGCTTAAATTTTAATGTTTTTCATTAACTTGCTTTTTAAAAAAATTTTAAAAATCCTACATTGTATATTCATTGTTTTTATTATATAATTTTTATATTTGAAAATTAAAAATAACTTAGTAGAATCAGTGTTTATATGTAAAAAACAGCTATTTAAAATATTCATATATTTATAAGAAGCTTGTTGACAGATATTTTTTTGAAATTAAAAGTTATTGAACTTCAATCTTTACTTATGATCTATAATGAATACTAAGAAAAAATAAATAACTCATTTAAATGAAAATATTGAATCAACAATGCGAAATCGCAGCAGGTCTCTCATTAAGAGAAAAATTTGTTTCCTGCCTAAGATTACATTATGTGACCCAATATATATATATATTCATTTAATAATGATTTTTTTGCATTTTGTAATGTAGCCTATCTAAAAAACACGACCCTGGCCTATTTAAATCTTCTTAGATAATTTTTCCGAGAGGAAAACTAGTTAATATTATGGAGAAAACAACTGAATCGTGAAGAAAACTTTTTGGGATAATCAAGCGATGTCAGTTAAACCGCGCAGCTACTATAAAAAAGTTTAATGATTTTGAACGGATTCAAATCGATTTTATACGTACATAAACGAGTTTTAAAAAATATTTTAATCATTAATTTTAGTTTTACGAATGTTTTGACTTTAATATTTTGTCGGTACTCTCTAACACGAAAAGGAAGACATAAGAAAAAGGAAAGAAGAGGAAGAGAGGATAGCGAAAGAAGAAGAATTTTTAAGATCGTCCCTTCGGGGTTCAAAAAAATTGCAGGCTTTAGAAAGTAAACCTCCAAGAACGGGAATTGTCAATACAGCTTTTGAACTAGAAGAAGGAGATTCGGGAATTCATCCTACGGGAAAATCTGCGGATCGACTGGTCGGAGACGTAGTAGAAGGAGGAAGGCCTCAACCGCCAGAATTAAAAAGATTAGTAGGTAAGATAAATTTAAATTAACTATATTATAGCCACAATTTTGGTTTACCTCACATCGAATTGTTTTGTCAGACTTGTACAGTTAAAGTATAGAAAAGCTTTATAGCTTTCTGTAGTGAAATATCAACAAATTCAACACAAAATATAATCTTTAATTTTTTAATATTTATTTATGATATCATTTCATAGAGATAAGAATTGTAAAATATAATGTCTACGTTAATCTTTTTGAACGTAGAACGTACGATAACGAGAATAAAGTTCAGACGAATTTTATTGCTTTCACCTACCATTATTGTTCGGTCACATAATTTATAAATTTATGGATAATGGCTAACACATTGCAGCATAACCTCTGACTTTTTTGTCGTGCGGCTGAAAGTTAATCTTTTCTGCTTATAGTGCGATCGCGATTTACGAGAGAATAGAATTCTTTGAGCGCGCGTATAAATGAAAATTCGCACAAATTACGACCAGTTATCTCAGAAATATATTGAAATTCGAAAGAATGTTTGTGAACGAGTATATAGTCGCCATCGTAATATTTTTCGGTTTATTTCATGCAAATAAAGAAGAGAATTTTTAAAATGCAATTAAGATTAGATAAATAAAATTTGTAACGAAAATTTTTATGTACTTTGTACAAAAAAGAGGGTTTTTTTAAAATAGCAAAATTCGATTGAATTATATAACACGTGTTACTTTTAATATGTGTATGATAAAAACAAAAAAGTATAATTAATCTGTAAAAATCATCGCAGTCTTTTGAATTTTTGAATTGAATTAAATGACAATCAATTCTTTTTACCACGTAGCGCATTATTTTAAGTTGCATTTTGTTTTGTTAAAATAATGTGTACTTTTACGTCAACTCGACGTCATTTTGACTCTTCCTCGTTACAAAACAGGTTTAAAAAATTGGCATAAAAATATGCACTGTTTTGACAAAGCGAATAGACTTTTAATTTTTATGCGTAAGTTTTATTNCACACAAAATCATTTCATTTGTTTCTATTCTTATTATTATATTTTTTAAGTTGTTAAAAAAGAAGAAAGAAAACAAAAGAAGGTAACTGTCAAATGACAGATTCAAACACTGGTCTATGAGAAACTTCTGCCAGATGAATTAACCATTTTTTATTTTGGTTTGTTCTTTAGTCTTTAAATTGAATTTAACATATAACATTGAAAATAAATAATTTTAATATCCAATATATTTAAATAAATTTCACTTTTATGATTTAATGTAAATTAATCTACATTGATGATAGAAAAATGATTTTATTTTACATTAGATAATATAATTCTCATCAAACAAATATAAACTAATCATGAAGAAATGGAAAATCAAATATTTTTGCCATTGGATTTTATTAAATAGTTTGATATGACAAAAATTGTTAGCTTGATGTTTTAATATATTAAATAATCTATAAAATCTGTAAAATAAAGCCTTTAATTGTTTGTCTATTTAGATTAGAACATTACCGCTGATGTATACTTGTAGAAATAAAAACATCAATTAAATTATTAAATTTTTATTTCAGATTGCGTTACGAAATGAAGTTTTAATTGTTATTATTCTTTAATTAATAAATATTTAATTCATATGCTTGAATTTAAGAAAATGAAAAGTAAAGTTCAGAGTTCAGTTTCTATTCCAAAGTTTCTGATTTATAAACTTTTGAAAAAATATAATACTTGATTCTAAAATTTTTACATGTAACTGATATGATGATTATATTGTATTATGAGTTAAAACTTTATTGAGAATAGATACAAACATGTACACAAAATAATCTAGGAGTCTAGTCTTAACTGTTTTTTGTAATATTGAAGTTTTGATAGTATCCAATGGTAATGGAAGGTTCATGTGGCACAGTCAATGTTCACTATAATAATGCACTATAATTGCTCCAACTTATTCAAAAAAAATTCTCAAAATATTATAAATATCAAAATGTGGTTTTGTGCAATGACTATGATTTTTATAGCTATCAAAAGAAAATGTAACATCATGATATAAGTTTAGTGAGGACTGAAAACTTTTGTAATCTTCATTTTTCAGTACAAATATAGAGTGAAAAAATGAAAATTATCAATCTTCTAGATTTTGAATTTTTAAAAAAAAGATATGATAAAAGATTGTAGAAATTAATATTAAAACAAATTTGACTTTGCTAATTGCTTTATTATTATATGGGAGAGAAATCACATTTAACTGACTGTACTCACAATTTTTAATAAATATATGTTTTTACTTTCAAAGACATGCAGCCTTTCATCAGGAAAAAATTGAACACAAACTTTAAAACATATGTTGCATTTATGTTCTATTCTTATCTTTTTAAAATTCAGTTAAGGCATGATATTGAAATATCAAATATTTAATAAAAATTGGAACAGTCTAATAAAAATGCAATGCACATGAAATTATCAACAAAATAAAACTCCCAAGTGAAGATTTTTAGAGAATCTATAAAGTGAAATGCTTAAATAATTTTATCCATAAATACAGAATATTGATGGTAGGGGTATTACAGGGTGAAAGTGATGCAGTATAAAGATTTTCCCATAAGAATAGCATTCTTTGTCATAGCATTATCTCAATAATCTAGTGTTAGTCCAAAGGGCATATAGCAATACTCTTTTTGAAAACTCAGTTGTGAGTTTATTATTGGCAATATCTTCTTGATGTTCTGCTACCCAAACTTGCAACATCCTAGATGTGACTCCAATGTACTGTACAGTACAGTATAGTTAAGTATGATTTCTTTCCCATATATTATTCCTGCCATGAAGTGAATATTATTTACGTCTATAATCATCATGGAAACTGCAAAAAAGCACTTCTTTAGGTTGTTGAACATCAGACTGTTGTGGCTAAAACTGCAGGCACTGTTTTGGTTTCTGTTAAGTTGTCGAAAGAACAGTCTCATCCCCAGGTGTATTTCCATCAAGTATGATGCATTCCCACAGTGTGTTTATTCTTTGTTGCACTGCATGGACAGAATCTCTTGAGAAATTTAATTAAGAACAAGCAGATGATGATTGCAGAATCTGAGCAAAGATTGTATGTAGCTCATTTGTCCTTTTCAAAAGTGTGTAGTGCAGAAAGTTTGTATGAACAGCTGGACAAATAAGGTACTGTGCCAACAACAAAATGCATAAGACAAGGAGAAGCTTAAACAACAAGTTTTATTGATAAGCTAATTTCACCTGACTTAAGCTTAGAGTGCCAGTGGAGGTTCAGTATTACAACTTTACGTCATTAACGGTGCCAGATGGAGTTTATTGCATCCTATCTCAAGGGCCAAAGTTTATTCCTATTCCAAACAAGGATTTTTCTCAAATAATCCCACCTGTTATGGCTGCTGTGAAGACTGTTCAATGTACAGAGCTGCATTCTAAGTTGAAGCTGTCCCTATTTTCTAAAATCTCTTTACAGTGGAATTTGCAAGTTGTGTCACTGCCAGATCTTTGGAATAGTTGCTGCGTTAAACTATTTCTTGCCAGTAATTGTTTAAAGTTATTAGTTTCAAATAAGGACAAGAAGTTTGTTATTTGTAGGCTTGATGATTTTCTGGCTAGTGCCAATGAGTTTCTAGAACATTCTGGTTCTGTAAGTTTACAGGAAGACGCAACAGCGACTGTCCTAAGAAAGANACAAAATAATACATTATTACAAAAAAAATAAGTAAATAAAACTCGATACTGATATTAATGTAATATAGAGTATAGATATTTTAAAAATAATGAATTGTTCTAATAATTTTTTCAGTTTTAGTAATAAAAATCTAGATTTCTGAAGTCATCTCATCTATGTAATTTCAGAATTAGAAAATGGAACCGATTAATTTTTATATAAAACTTGATTTTTGACATATATAAATTAGGTTTTAAGCAAAACATCACGACGCATTTTAATTCTATTTGTCACTTAACGGAATGAATAGGGTTTATTAACTCGAATGAAGTCGAAGCTAAATATAGATAAAAATCGTCTAAGGTAGATGTAAAATATCAGTTTTGTTATACAATTAATATTAATCAAATTTGATGGTAAAAGTTGTACAACACTCCTCTTTAAATAATATACAGCGAAAATAAATCGGTCGTTTTCAAGATATGTAGATAAAGATTATTAAAACTAAATCTAAAATATGTATTGTTTGTAGTTCTTATAGCAAAATGAAAATTAAAAGATTTATCATAAAACATATTAAGTTAACTAAATTTTCGGAACCAATGAACGTATAACAAACACGTAATAAAGTTAATAAATGATGTCAAATTAAATATTTGAAAATTTAGCGAACATTTTAATTATGGTGTGCTTTCTCTGGATCGCAAAACGAAAATTGAATTTGAAAATTATTAATTATTTTCTAATTAGTGAATTAGTTAATGCGTTGATTAGTAGACTGTTATAATAGTTTTGTCGCAATATAAATATCGAAATGAATTTAAATGACGTAAGTTAATATATCTTTATAGTTTAGTATGGAAACGCATACTTCATCTAGAATATCGGTTAGCCAACAAGTTAAGAATTATTGCCACGTATATGCTCACTAAAACTTGTTTTAACTCATCGTGTTCCCTGAAGTAATGTTCTGAGAGGGAGGAAATCGAAGTGGAGTTACATATTTACATTGACATTTTACAGATAATTCTCGTAGCCGGAAGCCTGTTTTCGTGTTCGAAAAATTTATGATAGTTACAAATAAAGAAAACCTTTTCTGTTCACGAATTGCAATAAACTGATATTTGTATTCAAAACTTCCTACGCACATTTCTTTTTTAACACTTTTTATTATTTTTCGAACTATAATATAACTTATTTCGCAATTGAAAAATATCTAATATAAAAATGTAATTTAATCGAACACTTTCTAGAATTTTTAGTCCGAAAAATTCACTTGCATTAAAGTTAGTTTTAACGTAGGGAAAAATATAAAGCTTTTGCTAGTTTAACATAAAAGCATTTTATGATAAGAGATACAGAAAAGAAAAAATGGCTTTCTAAAACTATAGTGTAAAAGATTAAATTTAATATGGCGCTATATTTTACAATATCGTGGATTACACTAAAGTGCTTTTTAAATTTCGGCATTTATTAATTTATTTTGTCTACTTTTACCTACGTATTGTACATTTTTCTGTTTGCAAAATATAGCAGAAATTATTTTGCATTTAGAGAAATCCGAATTACTTTCTTGCATAATGCATTAACGTTATGATATGCATGAAACAGACATAATCGATTGCGTTTATCGATCTGTATATTTTTATTGTTTATTTTTACGGTAAAATTTTAATATTGCAATAAAAATTCTGCGCGATATTTTTGCAAATGCTTAAATTTTAATGTTTTTCATTAACTTGCTTTTTAAAAAAATTTTAAAAATCCTACATTGTATATTCATTGTTTTTATTATATAATTTTTATATTTGAAAATTAAAAATAACTTAGTAGAATCAGTGTTTATATGTAAAAAACAGCTATTTAAAATATTCATATATTTATAAGAAGCTTGTTGACAGATATTTTTTTGAAATTAAAAGTTATTGAACTTCAATCTTTACTTATGATCTATAATGAATACTAAGAAAAAATAAATAACTCATTTAAATGAAAATATTGAATCAACAATGCGAAATCGCAGCAGGTCTCTCATTAAGAGAAAAATTTGTTTCCTGCCTAAGATTACATTATGTGACCCAATATATATATATATTCATTTAATAATGATTTTTTTGCATTTTGTAATGTAGCCTATCTAAAAAACACGACCCTGGCCTATTTAAATCTTCTTAGATAATTTTTCCGAGAGGAAAACTAGTTAATATTATGGAGAAAACAACTGAATCGTGAAGAAAACTTTTTGGGATAATCAAGCGATGTCAGTTAAACCGCGCAGCTACTATAAAAAAGTTTAATGATTTTGAACGGATTCAAATCGATTTTATACGTACATAAACGAGTTTTAAAAAATATTTTAATCATTAATTTTAGTTTTACGAATGTTTTGACTTTAATATTTTGTCGGTACTCTCTAACACGAAAAGGAAGACATAAGAAAAAGGAAAGAAGAGGAAGAGAGGATAGCGAAAGAAGAAGAATTTTTAAGATCGTCCCTTCGGGGTTCAAAAAAATTGCAGGCTTTAGAAAGTAAACCTCCAAGAACGGGAATTGTCAATACAGCTTTTGAACTAGAAGAAGGAGATTCGGGAATTCATCCTACGGGAAAATCTGCGGATCGACTGGTCGGAGACGTAGTAGAAGGAGGAAGGCCTCAACCGCCAGAATTAAAAAGATTAGTAGGTAAGATAAATTTAAATTAACTATATTATAGCCACAATTTTGGTTTACCTCACATCGAATTGTTTTGTCAGACTTGTACAGTTAAAGTATAGAAAAGCTTTATAGCTTTCTGTAGTGAAATATCAACAAATTCAACACAAAATATAATCTTTAATTTTTTAATATTTATTTATGATATCATTTCATAGAGATAAGAATTGTAAAATATAATGTCTACGTTAATCTTTTTGAACGTAGAACGTACGATAACGAGAATAAAGTTCAGACGAATTTTATTGCTTTCACCTACCATTATTGTTCGGTCACATAATTTATAAATTTATGGATAATGGCTAACACATTGCAGCATAACCTCTGACTTTTTTGTCGTGCGGCTGAAAGTTAATCTTTTCTGCTTATAGTGCGATCGCGATTTACGAGAGAATAGAATTCTTTGAGCGCGCGTATAAATGAAAATTCGCACAAATTACGACCAGTTATCTCAGAAATATATTGAAATTCGAAAGAATGTTTGTGAACGAGTATATAGTCGCCATCGTAATATTTTTCGGTTTATTTCATGCAAATAAAGAAGAGAATTTTTAAAATGCAATTAAGATTAGATAAATAAAATTTGTAACGAAAATTTTTATGTACTTTGTACAAAAAAGAGGGTTTTTTTAAAATAGCAAAATTCGATTGAATTATATAACACGTGTTACTTTTAATATGTGTATGATAAAAACAAAAAAGTATAATTAATCTGTAAAAATCATCGCAGTCTTTTGAATTTTTGAATTGAATTAAATGACAATCAATTCTTTTTACCACGTAGCGCATTATTTTAAGTTGCATTTTGTTTTGTTAAAATAATGTGTACTTTTACGTCAACTCGACGTCATTTTGACTCTTCCTCGTTACAAAACAGGTTTAAAAAATTGGCATAAAAATATGCACTGTTTTGACAAAGCGAATAGACTTTTAATTTTTATGCGTAAGTTTTATTTATTATTATTTTTATTAGAGGATCACACCAACTGTGTTAATACTTCTGACATTTGATAGAAATTTCTTCTGCATTTATATAAGACATAGAAATTTATTGTATTTTTTAAAACCCTTTTGTAAATTACTTCGACGAAGCTCTAAATAATTAGCCTTATTACATTAGCGCAATATTAAAATAATTAATGTTAACTACGAAAATAATATAAATAATAGAGTTATTTTAATATTACTTAATTTTTACTAAAACAATAGTTATGCCCTAGTAATTCTAAGATTGACCTATATTTTTTGTTAACTAGTTAGCATTAATTAACACAATTTAGAAAAAGGGTGTAATTGATGCACATTATAAAAACGAATACTTGTATATCGTTCTTGTTTTTACATTTGATGGTTCGTATAATTTTAAAGTTGTTCCTTGTCGTATTTATTCTTGTGGAATTCTCCAATTGGAAAACAGATCCGCCTATTAAACGCCATTGACTGATAGTGCGCTTTTTCTATTTCCGGTTATTTGGCAGTTCCTCTCTTTCGTTTAGTTGGTTGATACTTCAGAAAATAATTTTCTTTCCGTAAACGTTGAATAAAACTTTATCGTTCGACCTTTAAACCGGACAAAGATAGAGAAATTCTGACTAAGCTAGCCAAAGGTATCTTGTGAGGTAAGAACATTTTGTACTTCGTTGTGTCTAAAGATTATACGTGTTTAAAATTGATGGTAAAAATTAGTTTAATATAATCAAAAGTATATAAAAATGACTTATTAAGATCCTGTTAAAACATTTAAAACTTTTTTAGTTTTATTAGTTTATTTTTTAAGAATTTTAAATGAATTCAAAATCGTGTTTTTTGTGAGAATACGGGCAAGGGGTTGAGACTAAGGCTCAAAATCCCTAAATGTCGTGTTTAAATAAAGTGATTTATAAATCTATTTTTCAATGATCAATTAGCGAAATTGAATATTTAAAACAAATCGGCATTGTAAGATAAGAAAATGGAAGTATTTAGTTTGAAAATTATATTTAAAAATCCTATTGGATGTTTTGTAATTTATATCTATTGTTTCATAAATTTTGCAATGATAAGAAAATCTAGTAATAATAAAAGAGATTTACAGAAGTTAAAAAATTTTGATGACTCTATATAGTTTTGTCTGATAATAGAAAATGGGGAAGTTTGTCTGCTTTACTATGTAGACCACACTCAATGGAAATAGCAAACAAGTGAAAAAGGGACAGGAAGAAACAGACAAAGACAGCACCTGTAGAGGTACTGGGGAAAGTTGGGTTAGGTTATTTTTAGAAAAGGAGATTTTACTTTTATTAGTTGCAAGATAATTACAATAAAAATGAAAGTTTAACAATTTAGAGAGGAAAATCATGGTATTGAACTATGGATATCAGTAAGAAATGGAGAAGTATTAATTATGGTTATGTCTAGTATTTTTAAATTTAGATACTTAATCATTATTTTCTTGTAGGTGTTTCTGAGCTGCTGCATTCTCTTAGTCGAATAAAATCACATTATAGTAACAACGGCCACAAAAATGAAGATTTATCTGCAATTGAATCCCTTTTAAATAATAAAACTTTCCAGAAAGTGCTGGATGTCCATAATAAAGTGCAGGAAATTTGCTGTTTTAATGCACCACCCGTGCCTGTTTGTGCTTGTGCTCAAGAACTAACTCAAGATGTGAGTTTTGTTTTTAAATAGTGTAATGTAATCAAACATGAAATATACATTTTAATATATAATTGTAAATGCTTTTATATGAAAGGTAATTAATAATTTGCAAGAATGTTCACTGCCAGAAGCCTCAGAACTACTGGATATAATCAGCAAATTTGATTTTGAAGGATTATTGTATAGTCATGATAGTATTGCAGAAAGACAAGCCACTCCAGAGATGACACCAGATGAAGAACTTTTAGACAGAGCTTCTCATTATACCCATGAAAGTGTAAAAATAGTGAGGATAGATAAAACAGGAGATCCTTTAGTGAGTATTATTGTATTACTTTCATGAAAATACTTTTTGAATAACTTTACAATAAACTATTAGCGTAGACAGTATTCATTATGGTTTATATTACTAATATGAAAAACGAATAAATAGAATATTAGGGTTGGCATATGATATTTTTAAACAATTTTTCATTTATATAGTTTACAAAAATGATGCCAGTTTTCATACAATTTATTAACTATGTTATTTTTATTTTATTTTAATATTCTGTAAAGCAATCTTATATAAATATAAATTTTTTTCTTAATTTGTAAATTATAAATATACACTTATATTTATTCAAATGAATATTTTAATATTTTTATAGTTTTATTTAAATACATAAACATATTAAAAACAGAGTATGTATAATTGCTGTTTGTTTTATCACTATTTATTAATATAAGTTTACAGTTGTTTCTGTAATTCATTTTGTTTTGTTAAAATATTTGCAAAATAACAAGATTATGAAGTATATTTTTATTTTCATGTAAACTTTTTAAAAAAAATTAAGTTAAATAAGATTTCAATAATTGGTATTGTAAAATTATTTTAAAAGTATGTCCTAACTTGATGGATTTAAAAAAATATAAAGAAATACAATAATGAATAGTTCTTTAAGAATAATACAGTAATTAATTTTCTATCATAACATCAGTTTTTTAATATAATGGTTAGTGATTTTCATCCTTTTGAAATTTTGGATTTGCAAAATTGAATTTATATAACAGATGTTGCTTTTTCTTATTTCATAGAGGTGGCATAAAAATCTGTTATTGTTGTATTTTTATTTTGTTTGATTTCAATTATTAAAATTAGATAAATGAATTTAAAAAAAAAATCTTGAATGGCCATTATTTAACTGTATAAAATTAGTCAGAAAATTATTTATATAAAATAAAATTTATCATTATAGCATTTTAAAATGAAATAATATACAGTATATAAATTATATTTCTGAATTTTTTGATGCTTAGAATAACCCTTAATAAGTTTTTAATTGATGTTTTCTTTTAAAAAAAAGTAAAAAAAAAATCATTTATTCTAAATTAGCATGTCATTTATTAGTTTTTACATGAACTATTGAATAAAAACATTTTATCTATTTTTACTTATGAATATAGGTTTTCTGTTTCATTTTGAAATCTTCATAGTTGTTGTTTACACTTGAATCCCAAACACTTTCATATTCTTTGAATGGAATTAAAAAAAATTACTTGCATATTATTTTATCTTACAAGCATACAAACACAATTATGATCAAAAAACAATATCATTAATCAAATTACATTTCACAAAAATTTAATAAAAATATTTTGGAAAGTTTATAAATAAGTCTTAAATAAAACAAATTTTTTATACAATAAAGAATATAATTTCTTAGGTAATAATATAAAATAATTAATTCCTAGTATTTTAATATATTAAAATGTTGAAAAGCTTGTTATATTAAAGCTGTTTTGCAAAAGTTTTTGTTATCTCATGTTATCTTATTTGTTTCCTATTTATCATAGTCATTTCATGACTTATATATTAAAAATAATATATGAATAAATTTTGAATAGATGATAAATTTGTGGATATTCATTTCTTATTTATAGGATATACAATAATAATGATGATGATAATAAAATTNTATATTTTATTAAATAATAAACTAATAACATCATAGTATGGTATAAATTTATGTGTAATTCAGAATATTGTTTTATCATGCATACATTACTAATTCAACAGTTGAAATATGGTTAATCTAAGATTATTGCTTTTCAATTTATCAAAATTGTCTGTTTTATTTCTGTTTTTACATCTGTTAGATAGATATATTAATAGTTTCAAAACAATAGCTTGGTGGTAATTCTTAAGTGATAAATGAAATTTCCTAAGACCAACAACCAATGTCAACATCTTGGCAAGATTTATCTGTAGGTTTTTCTTTCTTGAAAAATTTTCTAACAAGTTCTAGTAAAATTTTCTATTTGTGGTATTATTTATGGTGTATTTCATGATATGAATTATTTATTAAAATTAAAACAGTTTACAAATGAAAACATTTAAATATAAAAATTCACACAAATACACACACAACTAGTAAAAGGAATAAAAAGTATTTACTGGTACAAATGTTTTCATCCATTTCTAACAAATGCTGTCAGGTTTATTGCTCTATTCAGTATTTATGACATACCTAATGATGATGATCATTAGAAATGGACAAAAACATTTGTATTAGTAAATATTTTTTATTCCTTTTTACAGGTTTGGGTATATCTTTCCCCCCATTCCATACAACCAGTTTGTAAACATTTCAGATAAATTTTCCAAATATTTTTATCTAAAATTTTCAGCTAATAATTAATTGATTCTATATAATTTTAATTATACTATATGAATTTTTCTTTTTTATTGTTTTAATTATTTTATTTATTTTAAAACTAAATGATTTCAATAGTTTTTATTGATTGTTAAAGCTGGATAAAGCACACACAAAATCATTTCATTTGTTTCTATTCTTATTATTATATTTTTTAAGTTGTTAAAAAAGAAGAAAGAAAACAAAAGAAGGTAACTGTCAAATGACAGATTCAAACACTGGTCTATGAGAAACTTCTGCCAGATGAATTAACCATTTTTTATTTTGGTTTGTTCTTTAGTCTTTAAATTGAATTTAACATATAACATTGAAAATAAATAATTTTAATATCCAATATATTTAAATAAATTTCACTTTTATGATTTAATGTAAATTAATCTACATTGATGATAGAAAAATGATTTTATTTTACATTAGATAATATAATTCTCATCAAACAAATATAAACTAATCATGAAGAAATGGAAAATCAAATATTTTTGCCATTGGATTTTATTAAATAGTTTGATATGACAAAAATTGTTAGCTTGATGTTTTAATATATTAAATAATCTATAAAATCTGTAAAATAAAGCCTTTAATTGTTTGTCTATTTAGATTAGAACATTACCGCTGATGTATACTTGTAGAAATAAAAACATCAATTAAATTATTAAATTTTTATTTCAGATTGCGTTACGAAATGAAGTTTTAATTGTTATTATTCTTTAATTAATAAATATTTAATTCATATGCTTGAATTTAAGAAAATGAAAAGTAAAGTTCAGAGTTCAGTTTCTATTCCAAAGTTTCTGATTTATAAACTTTTGAAAAAATATAATACTTGATTCTAAAATTTTTACATGTAACTGATATGATGATTATATTGTATTATGAGTTAAAACTTTATTGAGAATAGATACAAACATGTACACAAAATACTCTAGGAGTCTAGTCTTAACTGTTTTTTGTAATATTGAAGTTTTGATAGTATCCAATGGTAATGGAAGGTTCATGTGGCACAGTCAATGTTCACTATAATAATGCACTATAATTGCTCCAACTTATTCAAAAAAAATTCTCAAAATATTATAAATATCAAAATGTGGTTTTGTGCAATGACTATGATTTTTATAGCTATCAAAAGAAAATGTAACATTATGATATAAGTTTAGTGAGGACTGAAAACTTTTGTAATCTTCATTTTTCAGTACAAATATAGAGTGAAAAAATGAAAATTATCAATCTTCTAGATTTTGAATTTTTAAAAAAAAGATATGATAAAAGATTGTAGAAATTAATATTAAAACAAATTTGACTTTGCTAATTGCTTTATTATTATATGGGAGAGAAATCACATTTAACTGACTGTACTCACAATTTTTAATAAATATATGTTTTTACTTTCAAAGACATGCAGCCTTTCATCAGGAAAAAATTGAACACAAACTTTAAAACATATGTTGCATTTATGTTCTATTCTTATCTTTTTAAAATTCAGTTAAGGCATGATATTGAAATATCAAATATTTAATAAAAATTGGAACAGTCTAATAAAAATGCAATGCACATGAAATTATCAACAAAATAAAACTCCCAAGTGAAGATTTTTAGAGAATCTATAAAGTGAAATGCTTAAATAATTTTATCCATAAATACAGAATATTGATGGTAGGGGTATTACAGGGTGAAAGTGATGCAGTATAAAGATTTTCCCATAAGAATAGCATTCTTTGTCATAGCATTATCTCAATAATCTAGTGTTAGTCCAAAGGGCATATAGCAATACTCTTTTTGAAAACTCAGTTGTGAGTTTATTATTGGCAATATCTTCTTGATGTTCTGCTACCCAAACTTGCAACATCCTAGATGTGACTCCAATGTACTGTACAGTACAGTATAGTTAAGTATGATTTCTTTCCCATATATTATTCCTGCCATGAAGTGAATATTATTTACGTCTATAATCATCATGGAAACTGCAAAAAAGCACTTCTTTAGGTTGTTGAACATCAGACTGTTGTGGCTAAAACTGCAGGCACTGTTTTGGTTTCTGTTAAGTTGTCGAAAGAACAGTCTCATCCCCAGGTGTATTTCCATCAAGTATGATGCATTCCCACAGTGTGTTTATTCTTTGTTGCACTGCATGGACAGAATCTCTTGAGAAATTTAATTAAGAACAAGCAGATGATGATTGCAGAATCTGAGCAAAGATTGTATGTAGCTCATTTGTCCTTTTCAAAAGTGTGTAGTGCAGAAAGTTTGTATGAACAGCTGGACAAATAAGGTACTGTGCCAACAACAAAATGCATAAGACAAGGAGAAGCTTAAACAACAAGTTTTATTGATAAGCTAATTTCACCTGACTTAAGCTTAGAGTGCCAGTGGAGGTTCAGTATTACAACTTTACGTCATTAACGGTGCCAGATGGAGTTTATTGCATCCTATCTCAAGGGCCAAAGTTTATTCCTATTCCAAACAAGGATTTTTCTCAAATAATCCTACCTGTTATGGCTGCTGTGAAGACTGTTCAATGTACAGAGCTGCATTCTAAGTTGAAGCTGTCCCTATTTTCTAAAATCTCTTTACAGTGGAATTTGCAAGTTGTGTCACTGCCAGATCTTTGGAATAGTTGCTGCGTTAAACTATTTCTTGCCAGTAATTGTTTAAAGTTATTAGTTTCAAATAAGGACAAGAAGTTTGTTATTTGTAGGCTTGATGATTTTCTGGCTAGTGCCAATGAGTTTCTAGAACATTCTGGTTCTGTAAGTTTACAGGAAGACGCAACAGCGACTGTCCTAAGAAAGACTTGGAGGGTGTTTGCACTTCCAGGAGTGGTAGCCTCTTTACCAGGTTTTCTTCTTATTCCTAGAAATGTGAGATAGACTGTTATGCCCTAGACTGTTTTTTGAGGCCAAGATACACAAGCTAGAATGACTAGAATGATCACTGCACCTGCTAGTGTAACAAGTGCTCCCACCCAACATATTACTTAGAAAAGCTTTTGCAAAGCATATTACTTCTTTAATGCCTATTTTTAATTTTGTAACTAGCTCTGCACTCAATGCCAAGACAGACATTACTAAGGATCTTTCCTCCATGCTCACAAGCAAGTATTGATTTTATAAGATTGATGTGGTATCTTTATATCTGTCAGTACCACATTTCAATTAGGATTTATCAGTTTTTAAAACTCAGTTTTGAAAAACTGGTTTTATTGAAGAAATTTGTATAATTTGAAAACCAGGTTTCCCAAGTAAGAAAACTTGTTTTTGAGCCTACACCTAAATCATAAAAAATTAATTAATTATTTGATTAAAAACATTAACATTTTGACACAAAATTGTCTCTGGCATAAAACAAGAATTTTGTTAATACTAAGTTTCATAAAACTAACTACAAAACAAAAAAATTCCCTACACCTAAAAAGCATCCAATTCGGCTCAATTCAAGCTCTGGATGAGATAGTTGGGACCTTATCAGAGCTGTAGAGCATATCCATAGGAGCAAAAAACTCAAAGGAACTATACCTCTACAAGCAACTCTTCATGAGTTATAGCCCCCAAAATCAGATTGTGTGAGATAGATTACATAAATATCTTCAAGAACTTGAAAAAAATAACTTCGTCCAGCCGTAAGATACTAAAGGAGTTTTTAGTATTAGAGGGTACAAACAGAAGAACGAAGAATTTAGATTTATTATTTAATGCTTTAAAGACGATTAAACCCAGCTCAGTAGCAAGTAAGAGAGTTTTTTTTTCTATTTCTGACAATTTTGTGTGCAAAATAAGGCTATGGTTGAGCAATAGATCTATAGATGTTCTTTGCTTTCTAAAATCATATTTTCTTAGGAAAAATAAGAAATAAAATATTTTGTAGGCATTCATTGTTATTCCTTTTTCTTTAATGTTTTCTATGGAGTAAATTATATAGTTTAATGTGATATTCTAGCATTTTTTTGTTTTGCTTTGTGTAGATGTTGGTCAATTTTATTTTGTTATATTTTTGAAATGTTATAAAAATTAAATAAATTCAAAAGTTTTAAATTAACTGTAAATATCCCTTATCTCCATTTTTTGGGTAAAAATTTGAAAACTGGGTTTTTTAAAAAGTCAGTTTTTGTATAAACTCTAATTTGAATGCAGTAATGCTTGCAAACACCTTGTTCCTTAGGACTGGTCACTCCACACCCCAGGTATTAAATTTGAGGAAAGTACTTTTTCTTATTAGTGAGAACAATTATTTTCAATTTAACAGCACTGTTCACAAGCAAACCCATAGTGTACTGTACCTATGGACTCTCCCCTCTCTGCTGCTCTTGCAGAACTTATCATGAGAAATGTTGAGTTTAAAGTTTAGTTCCCTGTTTGCTATATGTTACCCACTCTTGTATATGCATTATGTAGATGATATCTTGCTTGCTTGGGATGGCACTGAGGAAGAGTTTTATATCTTTATAGACATGTTATCTTCTATCTATCCAAAAATTAATTTTTCTGTTGAGAAGAAAAGGTGGGGTTAGACTTACTCATTCACAGAGTACCTGCTGGACTTATGTTTTCTGTCCACCAATTTATGGTGGACAGAAACCACTGGTACATTACCACAAATTGTCCCTACCACTGCCTTCCAGCCCTGTGCTATATAAATCCTGCTATCTCAGCTGTTATGCATGGAGCATTCTTGTTTCCATCCACCCAAATATATGTTAACAAAGAGTTATTGCAAATTATATCAGATGCAGTATGCAGGGCAGGTTAATTTCGAGCAAAATTTAGGTATCTTTTTAATTGTGTCAAAAATTTGATATATCCTCAGACATTCCTTTCCAATAAACAAGATTGCTACATTGTTCATCTGCCAGTTCTTTTTGTGGCTCTCTATCGTTATGCATAGCCCGTCTCTTTAGGACTTATGGCCTCATTTTACCAATTGTTCCCTAGCCCACTTTACTTAGATTGTTATGTATGGATAGGGACAGTGTTGCCTTATATGAAAAATTGGGGATTTACGCAATTCCATTGAGGCAGGAACAACATTAATGTACATTTGGAGTCACATCTAGGATATTGCAAGTTGGGTAGCAGAATGTCAAGAGGATATTGCCAATAATAAACTCACAACCAACCTTTCAACAGAGCATGGCTGTATGCCCTTTGGACTAACACTAGATTACTGAGACAGTTCGCATCNAGATTGTTATGTATGGATAGGGACAGTGTTGCCTTATATGAAAAATTGGGGATTTACGCAATTCCATTGAGGCAGGAACAACATTAATGTACATTGGAGCCACATCTAGAATGTTGCAAGTTTGGGTAGCAGAACATCAAGAGGATATTGCCAATAATAAACTCACAACCAAGCTTTCAACAGAGCATGGCTGTATGCCCTTTGGACTAACACTAGATTACTGAGACAGTTCGCATCACTTTCACTCTGTAATACTCCTACCATCAATATTCTGTATCTATGGATTGAATTATTTAACCATTTCACTTTGTAGATGCTTTAAAAATTTTCACTTGGGAGATTTATTTTGTTGTTAATTTTGTGTGCATTGCATTTTTATTAGAATGTTCCAATTTTTATGGAATATTTATTTAATATTCCAGTCTCATGCCTTAACTGAATTTAAAAAAGATATATTACATTTATGTTCTATTCTTATGTTTTAAAGTTTGTGTTCAAATTTTGCCTGATGAAAGGCTATATGTCTTCGAAAGTTCTTGCAGTTTTTAATAAATACATGTTTTTAATGTCAGTTAAGTGTGATTTCTCTCCCATATATCATTTTGAGCATGAAGTGAATATTGTTTTTGTCTATATCAGCATGCTTTATTATTATTAAGTTGTTGAAAAACATTTCGAAATATTCATTTTGAGGAATAATAACTGAGTAATCATAATTTTTCTGTTTGTATCATAAATATTAAAGACTCAAAATGTTATTTATTTTAAATTTTTGAAAATTTTATTTTCATTTTTCTGAATTTAATATTTTTACAATTCAAAAGTTCATAGTTTTTTAGAAGTGATTTGTTTTTTTTAACAAATTTTTTTGTTACAAACAAATTGAGTAAAAAACAAATAACAGCATATTTTCTTTACTGTATTATTAAATAAAATACAATTGACTCTCACTAAGCCAGTGTGATCATTTATATGCTTCCATTTCTTTGAAAATGTTAGTCTGATATTCTGTTTCCCTGTTTACGTAGGTTTCATTTCTCTGTACAATATTGCAGGTCAATGACCCAGATTATTTGCCAGCCTGCCTGCCTCCCAAAAGAATTTACACTGAATGGCAGCAGGTCACATCATTCATTGCCATTAGGTCTGTATACCAGGCCTAAACTAATTGTTTTCTGAGGAAGACAATGTAAACTGTAAAATACAAGTCTGAGGATAAGGTATAAAAGATATAGTCAAACTTCTTATCACACTACACCTTTTTTTGCCAAGATAGTTTTATTGAAAAACTAACGTTTTTGGCCTACTCTATAGGCCATCCTCAGGCTTAATGATAGAAAAAGAACATTGGCATTCCATTAAATAGAATATGTAAATTTAAGTACAAAAAATAATAATGGAAAAACAAGAAAATAACTGAAAAAATAATACAAATACAATAAAACAAAGTCAGACTTAGTACCTCCATGCTCACAAGCAAGTATTGATTTTATAAGATTGATGTGGTATCTTTATATCTGTCAGTACCACATTTCAATTAGGATTTATCAGTTTTTAAAACTCAGTTTTGAAAAACTGGTTTTATTGAAGAAATTTGTATAATTTGAAAACCAGGTTTCCNTAGTAATAGAAAATAATAACTAAAAATAAATGCACTAGTTAATACTTTTTTTAAAGTATTTTTTCCATTATTATTTTTTGTACTTAAATTTACATATTCTATTTAATGGAATTCCAATGTTCTTTTTCTATCATTAAGCCTGAGGATGGCCTATAGAATAGGCAAAAAACGTTAGTTTTTCAATAAGACTATCTCGGCAAAAAAAGGTGTAATGTGATAAGTTTATTATTTGCTGAGCACGTTCTGTTTAATGATATAGTCAAAATTGAGATTAAAATTTGTCTGTTGTTGTTCAGAAATAATCAATTTGAAATTTGCAACTACTTTTTCAAAAGAATGTGATCAAAATTGCAGATAAATATTGTGGCACCTAATATTGAAATTTCCATTATATATTTACTGGGTAATTATGTTTGATATCTTGACTATATTTATTTCATTTTCAAAAAGTTTGTTCACAAAGGTATTTAGAAGCAAAAATAGGAAATATCCCCCACGAATACTTCTTATGACTTGCAAATCTTTATCAGAAGAGAATTTTAAAGTTTTACAAACTCTCTTCTTCAAATGATTCTTATAAAAACTTATTTATGGTAAGGTCTATTAATTCTAGTTGCATTTTCAAAAGTTAATATGTTTTTAACTAGTTTAACTGTTGATGTTAAAATATGTCAGTGAAAACAAACTATGCAGGCCAGATAAGTATGCTTTGGGCATTTTATCCGTATGGTCAATCTGAATGTGGCCATATTTGACTTGTGGGCCATAAGATGAAGACTGCTGCCAAGCACTCTCACTAATCTGGCATCTGTCTGTGCAAGGAATAGCCAGATTATTCTGTCCTAACAGCAATAATCTAACTATTATTGATTTGAGCTGCATAATAATATAGTATTTATCCTACTTCAAACTTCTTTGATAAAAGTGTGATTTAGAAGTTCGCCAAAAGAAAACATTACAGAAAGTTGTCCACTTGGTACTTCCATAATATTTTCATGCTGATGATGCAGATATTTTGAAACAGTAGATTAATATATTGAATACAATTCCATATTCATTTCTCACACTATAACTCATATATCACAACATGAATATAGAATTCTACATTTCTCAATTTTGTATGAGATAACATTATTTCAAAATGTGTCTTAAACATTACTGTTACATTTAAAAAATCTGTTGTCATCTTACATTATCATCATATTATTACTGGATATTTATTAAATAGAATGTCATTAAGAAAATAGTAATATTCTTTTTCAAATGCCAATATTTTGATTTGTTAACAAATAAGTTCTACAAAGAAAGACACACAAAAAAGGAATTTGTAAATTCTAAACATTAAATTAGGTAATCATTTTGAAATAAGGCTGATTTCAAGGAGTTTATATTAAGAAGTCAAATGAAAAATTACAGATTATATTTATTAAAATTAAAATATTTTAACTCAGAGTATATATATGATGATATATAAAACAAAAACAAAACCTAGAACTTAAAGGAAAAAAGAAAACAACTTTTTCTTATGTTGTGATTTTAAGTAAATATAAGTTAGTACTTATCATGTGTGTGATTTCGTTGCTGATAAATTGAATATATAATAATCTATAGTATTAGTTGGACTATATGACAAGGGTAATGTAATAACTCCTCATGTGTTCCATCCAAGGCTAAGAGAGCATCACCTCCTCCTATATCTAAAGTGTATAGATACCAGATGGAAAGCAGTGCCAAGAAAATGTTCTAGACACTATTCTTCCTATTTCAATTCCACCAAAACAGCCAACATTGGGTGAACCCATAGGAATTCCATTTTTGTAAGTAAGACTTATTATCAAAATAGAAATAGTTGACAGGTTCTACTTTTAGTAACTGATATTTGAAAAAATATATATATATTTGTATCACCTGTTGGATACTAAAACCTTGTCAATTAGGAGAGCATTGGCTAACATAACTGTTTCAAAAGCTTGAATAAATAAGTTATATGTTATAAAATCTTTATGGAGTTAATATGTCAAATTCCTTTTGTATACAAAATGGATATAGATAGATTTGTATCTGTCTCCATTTTGGTAATTAGTTTTAACCTATAAAAACAGAGATCCTATCAGTTCACTCTTGTTGGTCATTTTGGCAGAATTGATAATGAGAAGATAGTCTAGAGCACTCTTGGCATTACTTTTCACGTGTTATCCCCACCTATATCTGAGGTATATAGATTAAACTCTCTTATCCTGGGATGGCACATACAAGAAGTTATTATGTTTTGTAGACTTTCTAGCCATTAGCCTCCCATCAATAATGATAATTTAGTAATTAATAAAACATTCCATTTTAGTTATGACAATTAAATACTACTTTAGCTTTGTTAAATATGCATAAAGTAAACATATGTTATTTTTTTCCTTCTTATGCTTAAAACAGTAACATAAATTCACAAAAAATGACAATAAAACTTGATATTAAATTTCAAATGAAAAAATTACTTATTTATGCAATTGCTCATTTTACCAACCGCAGTCTAGTGTTGGCCATCCCTGATATATACCCTATGCCTACGGAATAGCCATTGATCCATAAACTTGAGTTTGTAATTGAAATTTAAAATTTGCATATATTCTGTTGCATTGCATAACCTGCACCCTTATCAAATTGTCTCTTAAACATAGATAATCTACAGGTTATAGAGGTGAAAATAAAAATAAAACAAAAATTCAATTATATGAATTTTAAAGAATTTAAAGGCTAACCACAACAGTTTGTCTAACCATCTTTTACTTTCCTGGCTGTTATGTATACATAACAAGGGAAAGTAATAGAATTGTGTTAAATTTGACCCTCCAAGTTTTTTAAAAGTAAAAAAAAAAAAATTGGCATGGTACCTTTTTATATAAGGGGCATTGATGCTATTAAATTTTAGTTGTGAAAGATCAAGGGGATGACCTGTTATGGCTGCTGTGAAGACTGTTCAATGTACAGAGCTGCATTCTAAGTTGAAGCTGTCCCTATTTTCTAAAATCTCTTTACAGTGGAATTTGCAAGTTGTGTCACTGCCAGATCTTTGGAATAGTTGCTGCGTTAAACTATTTCTTGCCAGTAATTGTTTAAAGTTATTAGTTTCAAATAAGGACAAGAAGTTTGTTATTTGTAGGCTTGATGATTTTCTGGCTAGTGCCAATGAGTTTCTAGAACATTCTGGTTCTGTAAGTTTACAGGAAGACGCAACAGCGACTGTCCTAAGAAAGACTTGGAGGGTGTTTGCACTTCCAGGAGTGGTAGCCTCTTTACCAGGTTTTCTTCTTATTCCTAGAAATGTGAGATAGACTGTTATGCCCTAGACTGTTTTTTGAGGCCAAGATACACAAGCTAGAATGACTAGAATGATCACTGCACCTGCTAGTGTAACAAGTGCTCCCACCCAACATATTACTTAGAAAAGCTTTTGCAAAGCATATTACTTCTTTAATGCCTATTTTTAATTTTGTAACTAGCTCTGCACTCAATGCCAAGACAGACATTACTAAGGATCTTTCCTCCATGCTCACAAGCAAGTATTGATTTTATAAGATTGATGTGGTATCTTTATATCTGTCAGTACCACATTTCAATTAGGATTTATCAGTTTTTAAAACTCAGTTTTGAAAAACTGGTTTTATTGAAGAAATTTGTATAATTTGAAAACCAGGTTTCCCAAGTAAGAAAACTTGTTTTTGAGCCTACACCTAAATCATAAAAAATTAATTAATTATTTGATTAAAAACATTAACATTTTGACACAAAATTGTCTCTGGCATAAAACAAGAATTTTGTTAATACTAAGTTTCATAAAACTAACTACAAAACAAAAAAATTCCCTACACCTAAAAAGCGTCCAATTCGGCTCAATTCAAGCTCTGGATGAGATAGTTGGGACCTTATCAGAGCTGTAGAGCATATCCATAGGAGCAAAAAACTCAAAGGAACTATACCTCTACAAGCAACTCTTCATGAGTTATAGCCCCCAAAATCAGATTGTGTGAGATAGATTACATAAATATCTTCAAGAACTTGAAAAAAATAACTTCGTCCAGCCGTAAGATACTAAAGGAGTTTTTAGTATTAGAGGGTACAAACAGAATAANATATTTCAATTATTTTTGGATATCTCTACAGTTCATTTTATTTAATCTGTGGAAGCATTTGTTTTCTTTACAAGTATTTTAATGTTTACATCATTTTACTTTCCTGGCTGTTATGTATATGTTACAGCCATATTTTTAATTTAGCTGTTTGATTAAATGGCACCATTTTGTAATAAAGCTAACTCATATGTAGCTGCATTATTGTTACATTGCATTTTTACAAAGCAGCTAGCTATGTTTAGCTGTATTGTAAAGTGGCAGAAATCTCAGTCTCTACTAAAATGTGAATTATGGACTAAGGTTAGGGAAAAAAATATTAGGAAGTAAAAAACATATATTGCATAATCAAAATTAGTTATATATAAACTTGAAAATTATAAAACTAGTACAGTATTTGAATTACTTCCTGCTTTTAGGAAAAAATATAATTATTTATAATAACTAATCAACTTAACTGTTCATTGGTCATTTAAAATCTTTAAAAACACGTAGTGCTATTAAGTATTCTTTATTATAATTAAGAATAACTTTTGTAAAGTCATGACATAAATAGACAGGTAATTTGTCATACTAAACAGTGAAAAATTAAATTATAAAAATGAGAAAACACTTTAAAACTGTTAAATTTCTTCACTAGTTACAAAATAATATTAAACATATCAAATAGATGCATTATTTATTAATTAATTAATGCAAGGTAAACTAGAATGACATTCAGATCTGCAAAGAACTTTCTTTTTGAAACATGTGTGCATCTATTAGTGTGACACTGATTTTTTGCAGCTGTACTTGAACACTTTTGAAATTCTTGACTTCTGAATAAATGAGCTGGTTAGTTGCAGCTTCTCACAGAGATATTGATTTTTCTGGTATTTTATTATAATCATTCAGCAACTCTTGTAATTTGTAACAATAGAAACAATTTTTAATTATTCTGGATTTAATCCCTCTCTTATAAACTCAATTTCTGAAATTAACAATTTTTCCCATAATATTTTTGGTATCTAAAGGACCATGATCCATTTTTGGTAAATTAAGAAAAATACTTTTTCTAATATCTAATAGAGGAAGTTTTTTAGTGTTATTGTCAACCATCTTTTCTCTGCAGCCAATTTAATTCCTTGATGCACTTCTCTTTCAATTTGTATATTATGCTTACTTTTACATATAAAATAATTATGTCTAAAGGTGACACAAATAGAGATAGTTATTTCTTTTCTAGACCAAAACAAACAATGAAATAATTTATGTATCTAAGTCAAATTTTTGAAGCCCAAAAAGTAGGCAATGCACCAGATGAGTTTTTTTTTACGCCAAACTAAAACAATAGCAACCCATTTTGGCAGTAAAATCTAGCAACATTCCTTAGCGCTCAGATGGTAAGAATCGGAAGTAAATATGACAATCTGGTGGTTATCTAATGCTGCATTGTAAAGAAGCTAATTGTCTGCCCAGCCATATTATAAAATGTGAAATGTCATTCAATGCAGTGGGATTTGGTTTAGCCTCTTTGTAAAGTGGTTGAACATCAGCTTTATTACAAAATAGTACTATTTAATCAAACAGCTAGCTGCTTTGTAAAGTGGCTAAATTAACAATTCGGCTGTAACATATACATAACAAGGGAAAGTATTGGAATTGTGTCAAAATTGATCCACTGAATATTTTGCAAGTTTCCGTATTTTGAGACCCCTTGAACCCAAAAAAGTAAAATACGGGGAATTTTGTGTGTGTGTGTACTGTACATCTATTTTATTTAATATCTCAAGATGGGGTAAAGATTAAGAAACAAAATTTGGCAAGGTAGCTTATTATAATAAAATCTCATAACTATTGGGAAAGTTACACAACTTATTGCTAATTTTTTTTATTTTTATATAAATATATGAAAATAGATTAAAATATAAATATTTGTTATATACTTACAGCAAAATATTGAAATAAATTAATGTATTACATAGTTTGTAAATCTATATATTATTTTTAAATTTTAAAATGTCTTTTATACTGCATCCTAAAATTATTTAAAATTTTCTATTTGAATATTAAATATATTATATACTCCACTAAGTAAAATTGTGATTAGAAAATTTATTGAAAAAATTACTTCATAATAATAATTACTTAATCCATATATTAAATATTCATTTTAACAACTCTTAGTCTGAAATAAACAGAATGTAATTTTCAATTTGGTATTTTGTATATTTTTGACATCATACACTTAACAAATTAAGATTGATTTGTTGTATAAATGTTAAAATTTTAGATAATTGTTAATGATTAGTAATAATAATCCTACAGTATATTGCAATGTTTAAAAAAGTGTTATTAAATTCAAGAAATTTACAACATTATATTTATTTAATGTGAGTACGTAAGGTAAATTATTCATTTCAAATTTAGTATTATATTAGACAAATGAAAATAAACATTACAAGTATTTTCACTAATTGATTATTATGAATATTCATAAAATATAAATTATATATTAACCGATATTCATGTAAATGGCATTTCCCAGAAAGATGTGAAGGAAATGGCAATACTCTGGAAATCCTAGATACTTAATTTTAGTCATAACACTGAATATATATCAAAATGAATGTAAACTACAATATACAAATTACTTTTATAAAATATTTCAAAAAGTTTTCCTTATGATCCTAAACTGTTTGAGTTTCATCCCAACTTCTAAAATAAACAAAAGATTTAAAACTGTCCCTGACAAAGACATTTATACTGTTTATAATCAGTTTAAAAATATATTTTTTGAAATAACTCCTAACACTGACTATAATTCTTTGCCTCCTACCATATACTAAATATCTATTATTTAAAAGTAACATAGTAGTTATATTTAATGAAATTTTCAAAGCCATTTCCTTTGTCTCTGGCTTTTTAGTCTTGATTTCTTTCCTTCATTTTTCAAAGAGAATCAAACAGTTTATTTTTCTTTATTATCTTCTTTTTATTTTTTCTTTATCTTTCCTCTTTTACTACAATACAGTTACTGTAAATTACATCACAAGACAGTGGCATTCTTCACAGATAACAATCCCAATGAAGAACCCCATAACTATTAGCCCCTCTGAAACTCCTGCCATGTTAAAAATTTTTGAACATTGTTTATATAAACATATCTACCATATTATCTGCAATGTCCCATTCTTGTTCACTGTGACTAATTACTACTTAACTTTGAAAACAGTCAACCTATATAATATACTTAGATATTAACAAGGCTTTTGATTCAGTTATTTTAGCCATTCTACCATGCAAACTAAGTAATAAATCAACATTTATAACTTATATCTTAAGTGGTTCAATAATTACTTCTTAATTTATATTTATCATATTAGTTTAGGAGATTCATAATTTTCAAATTTTTTTCTATTAATTGGTGTTCAGCAAGGATCTAGTCTTGGTAATCTATTTTTTTACAACCTATATAAATAATTCCTTACTTGAACACTTTAAATACTCCTTTAGCACAACTTTAATTTATTTAAACAAATGTTTTTGATTTCTGTGTCAGGTTTAACAAGAAGATTTGAATTTTAAGTTTTGATATTGTAGCAATTTTTTTAAAAAACTGTTAAAACATCAGCCAATTCCATATACTTACACAATTGATTTAGGAGTTATTTTCAATAAAAAATTTACTTTTAATTCATAGACACACAAACTTTGTTAATTCATCTCCACAGAGGAATCATGTGGAGATACTGCAGATCCATTTAATCTCATCAAGTCCTCTGATCTTTACACTTTGTCAGTTTTCAGTCTATAATAGATTATTGTGTATCTATATGGGCATCTACTTGTCAAACACATTTTAATAGTTTAACTGCAGAAACATCTAAAGTTTTCATACTTCTCAACTTACTAATACACCTTATCTTGCAGCCGAAGTTTATTACTTTTTTATACTTCTCAACAAATTAAGCAACTTACCATATACAACATCTCTTAAAGTAATTAAACATGGACTTGATTTTGTGATGAAAATCAGTGACCAATTTTCTGTATTATAAATATTATAATGATTTAATTTCTTCCATCTTTCCTATCTTCAGAGTATTGACAGTTCAAATTCATAACAGACTTAAATAATTATACCGGTAATATAATTTTAAAACTACTAGATTTTATTATTGGCTTACTTTTGTGATATTTCTGTATGTATTTATTTTTACATGTGTGTTTTTTCATTAATCATTTATTTTTTTAGCTTTATTATTGTAATTTATTATTATTATTTTTTAAATCTGGTTTGTCATTTAGTGTTCTTTTGGGACGTGGCTATCATTCCCTTATGGCATTGGCAATGTAATTTTATAATAAAGATGATTTTTATTGCATAATTACTTCATTTTTAAATTGATTGCACAATATATCTTTCTATGTGCAAAAATATTGCATTTGATGAACAAAAATTTAAATTTGTATTTAAATTTACTCAAAGATTAAACTTTTCTTTTAGTGTTTTTAGAAACTACAAACTTATATGTATAATATAGCAAAAAATAATCAAAACTTTAAAATACAATAAAATATGAGAAACAAAATTAAGAACAGTACAAATATAAGAGAAAGAATCAAACTTTTCATAATAGATCAGATTACATAATTTTATGACAATTAGAAAATTTCAGATTTTTGAAAAAAAAAAACAAATTAAAACAGTAATTCTAAATTTTCTGAAGTCTATAATAATTTTAAATTGAAATTATTTGAGATTTCTTAATAGATATGTAGTCTTTCAATTTCAAACTGTATATTTTATATTATTGAGAGGAGTATAAGTGGAGCTCTGCATAAGTCAGAAAGTGTTTTTGTCTGTGATTGAAATTTAAAACAACTGCACAACAACTGAACATGAATTTTTGCAAATATGTAAAACTCAGTAAGGTTGATATTGTGACAAAGCCAGAAATTTGAAATTCATTTGATGGGCCAAGATATTTGAGATCAAATTCATTATGTAAAGTCTCTGCCTATTGCTGATTGTCAGCTGGTCATGCACTACACATCAATTAAGTTTCCAATGCTGACAATTAACATTGATCTTGACCATAATTTTTATTTTAGATTTTTAGGTCAGTTAAAAAAAATTGTGTTTTTTATGCTGTGTGTTTATCAGTTTTGTTTTCCTAGAAAATACCTAAAATCAGTTCTAAAAACATGAAATGCATGTTTACATTCAACAATAATTGTATTTCAATATTAATAAATTATCACTTGTAAATATTAAGCAAGCAAATTTATACTAATGAATTATATTAAAACCTTCCAAATAAACACACTATTCTTACAATATTTAATGAAAACACTAATTAATCTTATAAAATAGTTAAAATGTTGAATAATTATATTTAGGATATTATACAGTAAAACCTGCTTAATGCCATACTCCTGTTATTTTCCCCATAAGTAAGTAAATGATGGATTTTTCTTGGTTAGTGTCACTCCACCTATTAGCACAAATTGGTTAATGTCAAGGTATTTGTGTGCATTGTAGATTTAAATAACAGGGTAAGACAAAACATCTGGACTGAGTTTGCATCATAACTTTTGAACTCAAAAAGATAATTTAAAATCTGTGCCAAAAATTATGTTATTACATATGCTTGTGAAGTTTTTGAACATTCATGAGTCAGTTCTGAAAAATGGCTTCAAAAGAGGACATTAAGAGAGCATATACAAATGCACTAAAATAAAGCAAACCACTTAAAAAATTGATAGTGGAGATTTTTTAGCCAAAGGCCTTATCAAATCAACTTCATATAATACTTTGAAGAAGTATGAAATATCTGGAACATGGAAAAGAATGCCAGGAAGTGGAATAAAGCTGGTTGTTATGAATGCTAAAAAGTGAAGAGCATTGCAGCTAATGTTTGATAACAAAGATGTAGTTAATCTGGTGGATGCAGCTAAATGATTCAATTATCATTGAATGTATACATATGCAAAACACTTAAGAAAATGGACACAAAGAAAGGGAGAAGAGGGGGCCTAGAGTATGCTACTGAAGAAATTGCTAACACAGTGCAGTTGGTATGTAAGAAATTTTGGAAACAAAATGTTCTTTTTGGATGATAAGAAGTACTTTTCTCTCTCTGACATTCAGCAATGAAAATCATGCACCTCCCAAAGTGAAGCTTCAAATTTCTTCTTAAATTTATATAAAAGTCATGCGGTACATTGTCATTTCAAAAGCAGATGTTTCAAAGCCATTTTTTTAAGAAGCGATCTCTTGCAGTCAATTCTGACATGTACTGTATCAAAATGAATGTGTAAAGAAAATTCTAATCCCATTTTCTTAACAAGATCATTAAAATGATAATTTCATCTTTTTGCCTGACAAAGCTTCATCTCACTACACAAATTTGACCATGGAGTTTCTCAAAGCCAGAAACATTCCTTTTGTATCCAAAGAATATAATCCATCAAATCTGCTACAATGCCAGATAATTGAGGATTTATTTGGATATTTGACACAAATAGTATACACACAAGAAAAGTTGTCAAGCAAAAATATCACAATTGATTCAAAGAATCAGACTTTCACTTAAAAAATTGACATGGCGACCATCCAAGAAAGTTGAGTCTATCAAAACAAACTTATGGCATTTTTTTTTACTATGGACCATATATGATCATGTTTATTAATTCTATACTATTACAAATAAAATTTCTTTTAAAATGATATATAATATTTAGTTCAATTTTTTAATAAAATATTATGCTTTAAAAATAGTTTAGATTTTTTTCTCTCACCCTGTTGTTCTGTTTAATATCACAAAGTTTTCAGATTTAAACAACTCAACAAAATTTAATTTTTTTTTTCCTTTTTATTTTAGAGATTACTAAATCAAAATGTAAATCAATATGAAAATAAAATTTATTTTTTTCTATGATGTTTTCAAAATTACAATATGTATACAATACATCAATTTTAACATGTAAGAATTAGCAACAAAATAATTATAAATAACAAAAATTCACCCTAAAGACAAAACTATCACTGCTATCATAATTTATAAAAAATTATTATATATATTCAGAAAATAAATCTTGATGTATCTTGATGTTAATTTCAATTTCAGTGATTGTATTTTCTAACATATTTTCTAGTTGTATAAATTCTAAAATTTCATTCCTTATGTTTGTTGTAATTGACATCATCTCCAAAAATATGTTGTTCTTGAATCAATGATTCTTGAATAAAATAAACATTCTTGTCAGATATCAAACTAATAATAAGTGATTTTTAATATTGAACATAGTTTAAAACACTTATTACAATCTCAACTTTATTTTTAAAAAATTAAAAATTTTTGTAATTTTATTTTAATTGAAGTGTTCCATGAAAGATCAAATTACAGCAAATTTAAGACAGTCATCAAGTCACTTGATTATTCTATTTAAAAGCTTTTAAAATTATTTTGCATTTTTATAAGTTTTTGATTTTATTATTGTTTAACAGCTCCATATATATTATCAAAATCAAAGTTTATACATATTCATAGATTATTGTATTTGTGGTTAAAAGTTTAAAAAAATAATAATTTCAAAAGAATATTTGTTTAAAATATAAAAAATGACTAAGCAATATAAATCTATTTTTTTTAAAGAGCTATTTCTTAATATTGAATATTTTAAAATACTAAAACTGTTTTATTATTAGGATTGTTGCATGTAGGAGATGAAATTCTGGAAGTTAATGGGGTAGAAATGAGAGGAAAATCTGTTAATGATGTTTGTGATATACTAGTAAGTAAAAGACAAATTTTGTTTTCTTATTAAGAATTTTAAAATTTGATGTCATACAAATGAGATAGAATTCATATGACCTGCAACATTCATACAATATTCAATACTCATGTAGAAATTCATGTATTTTGATTTAATCATTTATTATTTGCTATTAAACTCTTATATATTGTAAATACAGAGGACAGTAATTTAGTATCATGGTATTAATTTCATAATAATATAATGATAAATTACACTAAATGTGAATTTATGTATATTAGAAAAATTCTTATGAAAGCAAATTGTCACAGTTAATTTTGTATTCATATCATTAATCAGTAATGATTTATCCAAAGAAGTAGGAAGGAGAATCAGTATGAACTTCTATAAAGTTATATTGTATATAACAGGGATGGCTAAATCTTGTTACAATAAGAGCTCTGTATCAGCTTTCAGGTATACACAAGAGTCAGATTCTCTATTGGAATGGTATTTTATGTAGTATAGATAGTTAAAATACTGTAATTATCATTGTTCTATAACAAATATCACTATTATGTTAGGTCAAGAATGTTACAGTACATTTGGATAGATATTGCAATAGAGTATGTGTAAGAAGGGCTGCTTGAAATTTGAGAAAATAGCTTTATTACGAATTAATTTATTCTTTTTATCTAAATACATATCAATATTTCTTCTTTACTTATTGGTAGAAGATTTGTGGGTTTGTAGATGGGAAGTAGCTGCTTAAAATTCAGTTTATAAGAATGCATTCTTGTCTTTTAGTTACCTGTTCAAGGCTAAGTTGCAAGTTTCACTTACAATTGTTTATTTCACATGATATAACAGTCAGCAAACTTACAAAAATATTGGTTGTGTAAGTATCAATAGTATGTACCAAGTTTATAAAAAGAAATTGTATATGTATCAGGTCAGTCCATAAGTTCGTGCGCATTTTTATCTACAAAAAAAGCAACAAAAAATTTTAATTAAATTTTATTTCAATCTATAATGTATTCACCATTATTTTGTACAATTTCTTGCCATCTTGATGGTAGCTTTTTAATCCCGTCTTTGTAAAATGATTTCGGTTTTGAATCAAAATATTCAGAAATAGCCTTTTTTACATTGTTCTCATCCTCAAAAGTTTTTCCTTTTAAAAAATTCTGCAAACTCCGAAAAAGATGATAATCACTGGGAGCAATATCTGGCAAATATGGTGGATGAGGTAAAATTTCCCAGTTGAAGCTTTTGAGTTGAGCAGTTGACGTTGTTGTCAGTTAGCTATTGACAGTTCATGTGGTATCCATTTTCCTAGCTTTGAAACTTTTCCGATTTGTTGTAGATGTCTATGAACAGTTCCATGGGATGAATTTAAACGTTCCGCAATTTCATCAACTGTTAAAGATGGTTCTGCTTCAACTAGTGCAGAGAGAGCATCATCATCAAAGTCAACAGGTCTTCCAGTACGAGCCTTATCCTCCACACTAAAATCATTATTTCTAAATCTTTCAAACCACTTCTGCGCAGTCCTTACACTAATTACAGTTTGATTATGAACAGTATTTAATTTTTTGGCTGCATTTGTAGCATTCTCATCACTTAAAAATAAAAAGTATAAAACATGTCTCTTATATTCATCTGTTACTTCCATTTTAACGAAAATAAACAACTGAAATGTTCCCAATTCTGAACAGTATTATATGAATGAGATCCAATTTAACACTTCAGTGTAAAAAGTATCACATTAGACTGGCATTTTTAACAGCAAAACAAGATCATAAAATACGCACGAACTTATGGACTGACCTAATATATGGGAACCACAGTAAAGATCTAGAAGAGCAACATGTGGCTTGTGAGCTGCAGTTTGGCCATTATAGGTATATAACTACATCCAGACTCATTTATTCACCTGCTTACTCACTGATGTGAAATGTTTGAATATATGAAGAATTATTGCAGAAAAACAAAATGAAACAGTTAGGAGAGAATATCAAGTACATTACCAGAAAAAACTCAAACATCAAAAAAGTAAAATATTTGTTCTTACAAGATGTCAAAGTTCTACTCTTTACATCTCATAGAGCATCATAATGTCTAGTAGTTAATTAATTTAAGTGTTATCTGCCTATTTTTTTAAAATTTAAGGTAAATTAATGATGTAACAATAAATATAATTTTAAATTATAGTATATACAACAAAACTGCTTAGTTCAGGGATTCAAATATTTTTTATTAGTAGAAACCTTTTCAGTTATCATAACCTTAGTCTTGTCTGAGTTTAGTTAATTTTAAATTATACTTTGTATGTGATGAATAAAATAAATTTCAAAATTTGAAATACACTCCTACAAATGGAATTTTCAATAAATTTCTAAAAATATATTTAAAGATAAAAGATTTTTGAATTTATTTTTACTGATTTTAATGAGATGCATATGCATATTAAAAATTTTTTTATTATTTTAATAATGATTATGAGTAAGGATAAAGTAAATTAAGTATACTGAGATTTTTATTTTGAATAAGCTAGATTAATTCTATATGTCAAATAAAATAACATTCTGGTTCATCACACTAATCCACCAACATTCTAGTTAGATAAATATAACAAAATGTTTCTATTTTTATAGAAAAATTTAGCTAGAAATAAAAATATGATTAAGTTTTATTTGTAAAAATATTTATTAACTAAATTTTTAATATAAAACTCATTAACAGATTTAACATATTTTATAAATTAAATCATTTTTACAGGCTGGTATGACTGGAACTTTGACATTCCTTGTGATTCCTTCTCCTTATGAACACACTAAAGGACCACCAAGAGATGTTATTGTATGTTGAAAGATTTAAGTATTTTTAAAAGTTAATTTTTAATTCAATATCTTCTTTAAGTAAGATACTATATTAAGTTGTTTGATTAGATTATATGTAAACTTTTTGAATAAAGAAATTACTTTTTTAATTTATGAATTTTGCTTATATAATATTTTGGAAATAAATGTAAAAAGAATGTTAGAAAATAGTTTCATTAATCCTATGAAGAAATTATTCTTGTGACAAGAATATTATGCAAATATAGAAAATTTATTAGAATAATTTAAAGCTGATAACCTAATCATCAAGAAAGCATATACAGTTTACAAACTAAAAATTTAAATTATCAATCAAATAAATCACTATTGTAATTATCTTGATTTTACTGTACAGTTTTTATACTATATTATTATTTTTTTCCCAACAATTTTTTGTGATATCAATTTGGTATAAAAGTTAAGTACTGTACTATGAAAACCTTTAATCACCATTCAATTTTAGTAAGAAAGTAAATATTTTTCAGTTGCTTTAAACATTCATCATCAGGTTAATAGCTTCCCGTAAAAGATTTCCATCTTGTAGATTAAAGATTTTTTTGTTATCATTCCTTAGGTATTTGAAATACTGTACTATAAAATTTAAGAGTTATTATTAAAAACAGTTAAAAACTGCTTTTGAAAATATAATATGCTTATAGTTAACTGTTGATGAGATTGAAGATAAATTCTGTTAACAAAAAAAGAAAAGAATTATTATTCAAAACTTTTTAATCTTTTAAGAGAGTGGAAAAATATAGTACTTTTTTATTACATATAGCTATATAGTTCTAATTTTCTCTTATATCAGAAATAACAGATATACCAAATATTGGACAATTTTTTTTATTTAATATGAGTTATTGAAATTTGAGACTTATAAAATTGAAACTATATTTTTTAATATTATTCGTAAAACATGATTTTTGGTTATCTAATCAAGTAGAAATCTGAGAACTGATAATTTCATTTTATTAAAAACTTTTTAAAAATTGTTTTAAATTTTTATTTTCAGAAATATTTTCTAAACAAACTAGTATAAAAATTAATGATTGAAATTACTATCAGATTCTAATATTTTGTCATAAAGTTTTTAAGTTTTGCTATTGATCAAAAAATTGCTGCATGTATTATTGGGAAAGCAATGATGTTATAACTCCTATGTTCATATTGTATTTAATTGATTTGCTCTAGGTAACAAATTGCAAGCACATTAAAATTATATCATTAAACATTAATGTTTTTAAATAATCCATTCAGATAGATATTAACTGAACATAACTGAAACATTTATTACAAAAAAAAAATACTGAAGTGAGAAACCACCTGTGTTTGCTTAATTAAAAACTAAATTAAATTACACTAAATTATATGTAATATCATTTGATAGACTTCATTCTGATAGCCTTGTGTTTAAAATTTTAATAATCTGTTTTAAAAAGGATAGATAAAACAGAATTTACAAAAAAAGCTTATTTCAGTTGTTTTTACGTTTTCATAAACAAACTAAACAAAACATCACAAAACCCAATAAATTTGTAAAGCCAAACAACCACTGGATTATATTGGACTACTTTTCCACAATTATATTTAGGAGATCAGACTGGAGGCTTGGGTAGCATAACTGGCACCACATTTGCACAGTAAGTGGGAATTGCAGGTTCAAGTCCTGCTTTGTGCCAAATATTTTCTTCTAGAATAGTCTAAATTATTTAATAAATATTAATTTAATTATAATTATTAAATTTAATAAGAGCTGGTCCTAATGCTTTCTTCTAATGGCAAATTATTTAGTAATTAATTAAATATAGTCACGGGAAAGTAGTCCAATGTAATTTGGTGGTGGTTTTTACATCTTTTGTCATATGTTTGAAACTGAGCATTTCATTTTACTTTGCTTAAGTAAATGAAATCAAACTCTTCTCTTAGGAATCCAGTTTGATTAATTGAATAGCTTTGATGCAAAGTTATCCATAAGCCACACAAGGAAGAATTTAAGATTTAAATGTGATATTTCTTAAATTCTTCTTTGTATAGCTTATCTTTTGCACCTAAGCCATTCAATTAGTTTTTCATTATTGAGCTGTGTTAAATTTGCTATTCTGTGTAATACATCTGCTGTTGAAACGTTCATTTCTGTTCAATAATCATTATCAATTCTGCATTTTTAAAAATATTTATTGCTCTTTAAAATTCTGTGTAATTCATGTATCACTTGTTTGAGAGTAATTAATAAAGTTTTCTTTAAGCTTCCTGAAATTTTTGAGAAATGCTTTTATTATATAAAGTAGTCTTTGTTGTTTACTAGGAAGTCTTTGAAGAGAACACTGTTCAAGTATAAACTCAAATTACAAATTAACAAACATTAAACATATCTTTGTGTTAATAGTTAATATTAAATAAGAAAAATGCTTGATAAGACTTCATCACAGTATTGCCACCTTTTCAAAATTGCTGACTCTGCCTGGGTCAGCAATTTTGAAAAGATGGCAACACTCTATAACAGGTCATAACCATTTTTGAAATTTGTTTTGTGTCAGCCAAATCTTAATTAAATTTACAAGTTTGCTTCCTTTTTTGGGGGGTTTTCAATTTCTTGAGTTGTCATATTAAATAATTAAAATAGAAATTATAAACTTGTAAACTGAAAATATCACATTTGCTTTACAATAGGTTTGTTTTAACACAAGAGTCTGACCGGTGTGAAATTCTGTATGCCTTGTACGGTTTCAATGTTATTTTACAGCCAAGAACTGAAAATGCACATGTCAGTTTTAAACTAGTTAGGGACTGACCAGATTGTATTGGAACAAACCTAATATTTGCCAGAGATATTTGCAAGTTAGAATTTTAAAAGTACATTTTCTGTCACTCTTAGCCTAGGGATAAGATGGGGATTGCTAAGTTTGGGTGGGGGTGTGAAGTTAAAAATTTTTAACCACTAAAATAAAATACTCACAAATATTTTTATAAATTTAATTTGTTTCATCATAATTTCACAATTTCTACAAAAACCAGACGAATTAATAATTAATCCAGACAATGAATTTAAAACCAACCTGGTGGCAACAGTACTTCATCAGCTTTAGATAAAAATGTATCAAAAGCAAAACATTAACAAAATTTAATATAATATAAAAATAGTTATTAATTAAATGTAATGAAATTTGTTAAATTATTGTTGTTGTTATTATTTCAGATACATGTCAAAGCTCATTTTGATTATGATCCAGATGATGACTTGTATATTCCATGTCGAGAATTGGGTATATCTTTTAGAAAAGGAGATGTTCTTCATGTGATTAGTCAAGATGATCCTAATTGGTGGCAAGCATATAGAGAAGGTGATGAAGATCAAGCATTAGCTGGTTTAATTCCAAGCAAATCTTTCCAACAACAGTAAGTCTAATTTTAAAATTTAAAAGTTTTTGTATCAATATTACACCTTCTCTTAATGATTTCATGAATTAATAAAATTTAAAGTTCTGTATTTTTTATTTGAATTGATTATTTACTTCAGTTTTTTTTTCAAAATTATATTTTCGAATAAAAATTATTTATATATCTAAAAACACTATAAATATATTTCTTGCCTCTCTTTATCTCTTCTTCAATCTAAAATAAGATTTCATTACATTTTTTGTAGATTTTAATACTGAATGATTCTAAAAACATGATTTTCTATATTATATATTCCAGACATGGGCAAATCCAGCTCCGAGAGCTGCATGAGGCTCTTTTTGAGTTACGTGCCGCTCTTGCTGTTTATTTCTACAATTTTGTGAAAATATGTTTATTAAAAAAATTCAATATTTGTTTTATATTATATAATAAAATTACGGTACAGAACTGTGGTACAGAATAAAAATGTACAGAACTGCATCTCCCATGCATTTTACAAAACCTACATTTTGGCTCCCACTGAATTCTTGCTTGCCCACCCCTGATATATTCCATAATTTTTGTTTTAATTCAAATTTGGATTTTGTTATTAACTCTAAAATAATAGCTTATGTTATTGATTTGAAAATTATTCTCATATAAATATTTTACACATGATCTTAATATTTTTGTTGCCTCTCTGGAATTTTTTGGTCTAAAAATTAATTTTAATAAAACCATGTCTGTGTTGTTTGCTTTTAAGAAATTATTAGACCTTTTACACTATAGACATTAAATTAACTATGTTCATTTTTATAATTTTTTCTTAATTCCTAGGCATAATTTTTTGATGACAAACTAACCTTTAGCTAACCAAAATAATATATCAATGAACTCTACAAAAGGTTTAGCTGTTAGCAAAGTTTTGTGATGTCATTGTTACCTGCATTTATAACTATTTTTAGATTGCTGTTCTTCACTAGTTTTCAATCTCTAGTTGATTAATTTATGCCCATATGGTCAACAGCAACTCCATCAATTCTTGAAAAAGTTTCTAAAGCACTTTATAAGGTTTTTTTTTTTTTTTTGTTTTTGTTTTACAAGTTATGTCATTTTATACTAACTGAAGTGAGATGGCACAAATAATAATCATATTCCCTAAATTCTCTGCAAACATCAATTAGTTATTATTTTACTGTATAAATATTTCATTGAGTATCTTGCTCAACAATACTTTTATCAACATTCTTCCTAACTAACTAAAAATTTATCTTGTTTGTCAGTACATAATATTTGTCTTTTTCTATCTAGATGTTCATTAATTTATTGTGCTGTCAATGCAGTTTCAAATGTGGTATTGTTTTTAAATTTCAAATACGTAAAATAAAAGGCTAAATGCAAAAAATATATTTTATAGCATCCCATTGTAATTTCTTTAATGCATTTTTTAAATTTTATATAAATTCATATTTTTATATAGTTTTTAAATTGTACTTGTAATATTTCATTTTTTTCCTCAGTTTATTGTTGCTTTCAATTTTTTATGGGATATAGTATAATTTTTTCCTGTTTTGGGAGCAGTAATTTTATACTATATAGCAGTACTGCAAAATATATAAATAGTATTTTTATGTATGTTTGTATGTAGAAGGCAAAATTGTTCTTAAATTACATAAATGGTAATATCAAGACTGTACACACAGAGGGTTTTGGGATTTATTTCCAATGGAAAGAATTATAAATTAAATTAAAATTAAACACTATACTGTATATACAGTAACATATTTATTTTGTATCCATCTATTGTACAAATTTTAGTCTACTATATTATACTACTTTATGTACTGTTCCTATATTGTAAAATTTATTAAACTGTGTTAAAAAACATGAAAGACGTAGGGTTTATAAAAAAAAAAAAATAAAGTCCTGTTCATGGGCTTGGGTTACATATTTGTATATATAGCTAAATTATAAAATACTCCAAAAGCTATGCATATCATGGTCCAATTTTTATAATCTTAACAATTAACAAAAAAAAAAAAAAAAATGTGTAGTAATCTTAACAATTTAATAATATATTAAGCTAAGGTTTATATTTTTCCTTAAACAGTCTTCCTAGTTTTATCAGATAGCAATAATTAATGATAACTATATATTTAAGCTATTTAAAATAATTCTAGTCAATCTCTTTAAAAATATGGTTTTCCATTAAACAATGGAATTATTTTAAGCCACATTTTTAATATTCTGTCAGATTCATTAACATTTTTGAAGATTTGAGATTCATTAACATAATTTAACATATTATTAGTTTAATTTAGCTGAAAAATGTTACTACATAATTTTAAACAAAAATTTAAAATATGTAACAAACGTAATTTTAATAACTTAATGATTTTACAATGTGATCAAATTTAGCAAATTTGATCTAAATTGTCATTAACATTGCATCATAAAACAAGTTTAAAATTTTTGTTTTCCATAAAACTTCTTAAGTATAAATTAATTCATTTTTGTGGTACTTGACATTGCATTATTTATGTATGTACTATTTAACTATTATTTATAATGCTATGTTTCTGCCTTTTTAATCAGAACATGGTCCATTTTATTAGTTATTCTTTACAAAAATATTCTCCACTATCTAAAAGTTTAACTTCTGCATAAATGTTTTTTTTAATTTGAAAACTTTCGACAATATATTCAAACATCATATTAATTTAAATTGATTTATGCGAATCCATCATCTGTTTTAGATATAAAAGAGGTGAAGACCAGAGAAGAGGATATTTAGGTTCAGGTGATCAATGTGACCCCTTCTTAATCCCTCGTGAATCACTGAAAGATCTTATAGATCATTCAATTAGTTCAGGAAGTGGATCTGGTTTGCCAATATTAGTGAGTCTAAAATTTTTTTTGAATCAAAAATAAAATATATATTTATTTTATTAATTAAACTTTGTAACTTTTAGGTGCAAAGGACAATTGCAAAGCAAATAGAAATGATAAGAAGTATAGGTAAAGGTAGATTTGGTGAAGTTTGGCAGGCACAATGGAGAGGTGAGAATATTGCTGTAAAAATATTCTTTACTACAGAAGAAGCTAGTTGGTTCAGAGAAACAGAAATATATCAGACAGTACTGATGAGACATGAAAACATTCTTGGTAAACGAATTTTTATGATTAATATCTATTTTATATTTAATATATTTTTAATTAATTTAATTTATTTGAGTAAACTTTCATATTAAACTTTTTGTATTTTTGTAAACAATGTATAGTTCAAATTTCTAAAATTCACATTTCTATCATAATTGTTTTTTAGAAGCTCTAAAAATCCTTAAATGAAAAAAAAAATTTCANAATTTCTGCAAATGTACTAGTTTTAAATTTTATTACTAGCAAAAGTATAACTTTGTGTTTGTAATAAAACATGCAATATTTAATTTTTCTGTTTTGGGAAATTCATGAAAATTATTTCAAAATACAAGAAACAATGTCTTTAATTATAAAAAAATATTTTCATCTTAAACTGAAAAATAAATTTTATGAAGACTTAAGAGATTTCAGTTTAATTTATATTCTTTTATATCTAATGAAAATTTAAATAAGAAAAAATGATTTATGATTAAAAATAAGATTCATATTTAAAAGAATAATGTAATTTTAAAAATGGTTCTAGTATAGTGTTTATGATTATTATTATATATAATTTGCATTACATAATATTCTTGTGTTAATAGTTTGACATAAATTTAATTATTTAATATTAGTATTTTCTTTAAATATATTATTTTGAAAGTATATAAATTTATTACCAGTATTCATTTCTCTGAAATAAATAAATAAATATACAAATTTCACATGTCAATGAAAATTTTTATAATGATCTTAACTAAGTTGTACTTAACTTGTCTCTATAAATATAACTCAAAGATTTATATAGCTCAGGTAAAGTACTTTTAAAGGAAATTTAAAATCAAACATGAGCAATTATTTATTGTGACATCATCACAATGGCAGGCTGCAAGTTTTAATCATTTTTTAAACTTATTTAATTTAAAATATACTCTCCACTTCAAATTAGTAGTGTCTTGTCCCTGTAATTGTACTTTTCCTGTTAGCAATAGAGTCATGCCAGTCATCTATTAACTCCTTCCAGGGGAAAAGTTTTGAATTGAAATAACTTGGCTTTCAGTTTGCATCAGAAGTTCATATAGAGTTTGGAGTCTCCTGTTCCTAAGCTCTCCATATCTGGTCTCAGCTTTCATCTATTTAACTTTGTTTTCAAGATTAAGGAAGGACTGACAGATGACAGTGGGAATTTATAGGTCTACAAGTTTTTCAAATTGCAGTCCAATAAATGGCATAATCCAACATGGAATTTTTTAAAGCAAAAAGTTAATTTAAGATGAAAATTTATATATAAATCCTTAAAACTGAAGCTTTCAAAAGCATTTGAAAAATTTATTTAAGCTAAATCAGATTTTTTAAAATATTTTCATTAATTTCAGAGCAAGAATGCTAATTTTGTAATTAAAAAAATGTTCAAATAAATAATATAAAAAGGTTTTAATATATAAGAGCTATTTAGTATTTTAGAAATGCATAACTGTGTCTTATATGAAGCACTTATTTATTAGTTTAAGCAGATTAAACAATGACACAAGTAGCTTTGTGAAATTCCTATTAATGTATATAGGCTGTTTTTAGAATTAATTTTATCTTATTTTAATTAATTTATTTTTTGTTTTAATTGCAAAAGGCTTCAAAATCCTAATTTATTATAGTCATTCATAAATAACTTTATTTCTGATAATTATTAAATTAATATATTTCTGTTCAATGTTCTTATTGTAAAGTTTTTCATAGACAATATTGATTAGTTTCATTAATACAGGAGCAGTTATAGAACTAATAGCTCATAGAAGATAACCAAAAAGGCTGATTTTTGCCAATTTCAGAGAACATATGGACATTTTCAAAACTTGTTACTTCTATTTGGAAAGTTGATTTGAGCACTGAGGATTTTTATAGTTGACCTTTTGTTGCATCTTAATTAATTAAGCATAGTTTTGTAAAAAATCAAAGGAAAGAAGAAATTATACATTTGTTCAAATTTATGGTTATTTTCAGATATGAAGCCAAAATTTATCTGAAATATATTTTACTAGCAGACCCCGCCACGCGTTGTTGTGGCTCAAAATGTATCTATTATAAATTTATAACACTTCCCCCGTGGGGGGGAATTTTTCGAAAAATTTCGTTTTAGTGTACATTCTCTTGACGTACCCTATTAAAACGCAATCAAAAACGCAAAAACCCGCATTTAAAATAGTATAAATAGAAGCAGAGTACTTTACGGTAAGCCTTAATCCTAACCATCTCCCTTCAGTGGGGTTGAATTTTGACATGTATATTATACAAAAACATGTGCATATTTGAATGCAGTGTTGTCAAAATTTCAAAGAAATCGGTAGGAACAAACAAACATTACATTTTTATTTATATAGATAGATAGAAGATGATCCGCTTTAGTTCATTTTCACAGAAAAGCATAATGCCTCACAGAAAAGCAAACATAGGGCGTCGTACTCGTAGCACCATCTGTTGGACATAAAAGCCTTAACCTAGATCAGTGTTTTTCAACCTTTTTCATTGAGTGGCACACCTAATTGAAAAATAACAAATCGTGACACCCTCGACCAGCGGCAGATCTAGAATCTGAATAAGGGGGGACTAATGGGCCAGATGAACTTTTTGCGAAAACGAATATTACGCGCAACGCAAAAGTGTTTCTACGTGTTCAAAATCAAAATTTAAGTTCATTGAATTTTGTCGAAATACCTACATGTAAAATAATAGTCTCGCTATTGTTTTTTAAATATAGTTTTATTATCAAATATATCATCATTTTATATTATCATTTTATTGATAAACAATTTTTGTTACGTTTTTTTATACTATTCTGATGCATATATAAAATAAATATTTCATTATTTTTTTCTTATCTTTTTCATATCAATTTAAAAAATTTAAATTAAAAAAATGATAAAAAATTGTTTATTTGTCATCATTGCTTTTGAATACTATGAAAATACTGTAATATGCACCTACTTTGTGATTGAAACCACACGCTTTTCAAAGTACAATGCAACGCTTTTTAAAGCATATACAAGACACAAGTGTCCACGTCGTTCTTCTCTGGTGGTTGGCCTGGTACTGGGACTGGGAACGTGAAGGCCAAGCAATGTGGTTTGGGCGAACTCGTGACAAGTCGTGCATACACGTAGCGTAGAACATTACATTAACACGCGATTAGTCATAGTTTCTTTGCTTACTAGATATCTCGTAGCAAAATAGAACTGATAATGAGTTATCTTGAACTACACTTAAGTAAATTTCCAAGAAAATGCCTAAAGGCCCTAAACTTTGCGACACCCCAATCGTGGCGCCATGGCACCCCGGTTGAAAAACACTGACCTAGATTATACCTTTTAATTTATATGAATGTTTAACAGAATAATATACAGCCTATGTCCACCCTGAAGTTCCATTCTAAATATTGGTGAAAGAATTTTTGAAATCGGATGAGTAGTTTCGGAGATTACCTGCTGCAAACAAACTTACATACTTACATTACCTCTTTATAATAATAGTATAGATATATATAATGGATTCCTTGATATATCTTATTACAAGTTAGTAACTTTTTACTCCTTGTTTAACAGGGCTTCTGTTAGCTGCTTAAAGGAAAGAGCTTTAGAGAATTTGAAGAGTAGAAGAAATTGATGTAATTAAATCAGATTTTCATAGATTGATAGAGAATGTGGAAAAAAATTTGCTCATACATTTCTCTTGTATTCATTTTACAGCAGAATTATAAATTTATAAAGAGAATCTAAGTATTAAGACTATAAAGATATAAATGCTAGATGATATCATGTTGGAAGAAGTGTATCAATGAATGATGATAGAATATAACAAACTATTATTAGATTTTTAAACAAACTTTATTGGAAGAGTTTATTGAAATAAATCTTATCTTATTATTGGGAATACAGGTATTTGGAACAAATTTCTTAGTCAAAGTTAAAATAAAAATATATATATTCAGAGTTCTTTTACATCTTTCAAGTATTCAAGAAACAAAACAATGAATTAAAATGTATTTTAACTGTGACTATAGATGTTCTGTTGAAATAGATTTCTGTCTTAATAATGATTCAAAAAATTTTCCAACTAAAGTATCAGAAAAGATAAGGGACTGTCCATAAATGTTGTCTAAACTAGAAAGGAGGGTTATGACAAGTCAGACAAGGGGATGGGGTTGAGCTTCAGTGGATGTCTGTTTATTTCATTAAATTTTAAACAGTTTATGCATTTTATTATGTTTTTCAAAATTTCTTGTATGTTTCGTTTCTACTTATGGTGTCTATCGTTCATAAAGTATTGATGGTTTTAAAGAGGGTTGAGTTTTGTTAGACTTCCAGAGGAGGAAGGTTATTGAAACTTGGACAAACTAGGACAAGAGGGGAAAGAAAAATTTCAAGAAACTTGCAGATGTAATTTATGAACAGCTAAGTGTTGACATAATTTTTCAGCAGTTTCCATGAAACCATTTTAATTTTTAATAAGTATAAAGTACAAAATAATATTTTGTAATGCAGTGGCTTGTTATAACTGTGTGGCCCAGGCAGATTGTAATTAGGTGGCCTCAGTATTGACTTCAGACATTTTTCTCTGTGGGAATTTTTTGAAAGGAATCCCCAGTACCCTTGTTTGTTTTTTAATGCAATTTCTGGAAGGTTAAGCTCTGCACTACATTTGCATCACACCGGTAATCTAGAGTTCTAAAATATGGTGCCAAATTTAAATTTTGATTTTCTTACTACAGTAATGAGTTTAGAAAAGATTGGTTTGTGGATCCCTGTTGGTGAGGGCCCCAGGCAATTGCCCTTTTTGCCCATAGGATAATGTGCCTCTACTGTAATGTAATTATAATTGTTATTGGCATATAATATTATAAATGCAATTTGAATGCATTTGATTATTCATTACTTATCAGTTTTGAGATTTTGAAAGATTTTTAGATTTAATTGATCTCTGAAGATGAACCTTTATACTTAGAATAAGGTGTAATTAAATTTTTGTTTGCAAAATTTTAATAAAGTGGTTTGGGCTTGTATTATTTAGTTTAGTATTTGCTTATCATAAATGTTTTTATAATCATTTTGAAGCATTATATTAATTTTATTAACTTTAATTTCTTACCAATTAATATAGATATCGATGTTGATCAGATTCTTACTTATGAAGAGGTTGCACTTTATTATCCTCGAGCAAATCAAAAACGGCCAATTGTTCTTATTGGACCTCCAAACATTGGAAGGCATGAAATTAGACAGCGGCTCATGGAAGATACAGAGCATTTTGCAGCAGCTGTGCCACGTAAATATTTTACTTATTGTCTGATAATACAGTAACTTGTATTTAATCCATTATAAAACAGAATATATTTTAATGATAATTTCATTGTTATTGTTTTAGAAAATGTTGTTACTATTTGCCTAATGTAATCTGTTTTACTTCATTGGTATTATTATTTTGTGTTGGAGGTTGTATTATAGTTCAATGTTTCTTACAAAAAAAAATTTTAATATATTAATATTTTCTAACTCATTTCAATGAATTATTATGAAACACTAAGAAAAGGTTATAACATAAAGATCAAGAAATTTGATTATGAGTTGCAATGTCAGAGATGATGTATGATGCTTTTTTGTATTTCCTTTTTATCTTTCTTTTATTTGAAATACAATTACATCAGTTATTACAAAATTTTATTTAATTATAAGAAAACTAATGACATTAATTTAAAAATTTTCACTAAATAGAGCTATTTATTCCAATTTAACTTCACTTTGCATTTTTTTTTTTTAAACTAGTTAAATATGATCATATTTAAAATTAAAAATCTCTAATTTTATTTATTTGGTAGGGAAATGTTATATAAATTCATGCAGGAAAAAATATATATATTGAGTATTTTTAAGATATTGTCTGAATTGTGAAACATGTGATATAAATAATAGGCTAATATATTTTACTCTGAGATTTAACTAATAAATTTTTTTTGTTTTTATAAAATAATTTAAGACATTAAATCAATTTCTTAAAGAAATTAAATTTTAATGTGATAAAAGTTAAAAAATAGATATCTGTTGTATACAAATATTATGAAAGTAAGATGTTTTAAAAATTTTAGAAAAATTCATTTTTAAACATTTGATTTATGTTCATTTATTCAGTTGAGTCTTTTGATTGAGCTTTAGATAAATAATATAAAAGTATTGTATATTTGCGCAGATAAGACGAGGTATAAATTTTCATCAAAGTTTTATAGTTTTAGAATATATCTGTCCTATAAGACAACCCTGGATTTTTGGGGTTTTTTTTTATGATTCAACTATCGTCTTATCTGCACAAATATACAGTATTAATTTTAGGTTTTTCTTGTGTGATCAGTTGTAAATAAGCATATAGTTGCTCACTTTTAATGAAATTTTGTAATTGAAGATTTAAAGAATTTTTTAAAATGCAGTTTTTATCAATAGTAAATAATTAGAAGTTCATCTGATCTTAAAAATAACCCTCATATGAAAGTCTTTATCTCATTAATGAAATAGCCAGGACAATAATTATTATTTAAAACTTTACAAAAGTAATTGAAGAAACACAGTTTATATTTTACATATCGAGGCAGATGAGCCTACAATGCCAATTCTATTGTAAGATGGTTTTATTCCTAAGGTGTGATGTGGATGTAAAATGAAGACTTTGTGTTTCTTCATTTACTTTTGTTTTAGTCATGTTTTTATAACATTTCAAAAATTGAAAAGACTTGAGTTTTAGCTTATATAATTAGTTTTACTGGTGAGGTTTTACTTAGACTTTCTATGCATATTACAAATTAAATAGAAATGGCATTTGTTAAAGGTAATATTGAAGAAATTATAGAAATTATTCCAAAGTCATTATTTATGTATGTATTATTATGCAAGTTTAAAAGTACTTTTCCAGTTAGCTGTATTCAATTCTGAAAATTAAAATACAATTATGCAGTTTCACTTTCTAGTTGCACTGTTAACAATATATTGTGATCAGTTTTTTTCTGTACAGAGGAAAGTGTCAAAAAGATGACTATATGAAAAAATTCAGAAATGATAAAACAAGTGTGGTCAATAAAGATTCTTGTCTTTGTTGAACATTTTAATAGCAATAAACATTATTGTCAAGCTATTAAACCAGTGTTTCTGTTACTGTTAAAACATTAGATATCTACACCATATTCTAAACACCAAAGAAAGAAAACAAATGTGTAAATGGTTTATCAATCTCCAAAATGTTTTAGATGGCAGTAGGAAACTTTTGAACTGATATGAGAAATGTTTAGAAATGAAAATTACATTGAAAAACAATTCAAAATTTTTTCACTTCTTCTTTTCCTTGATTTTAATAAAAACAAATTGCTTTTACTTTTTGACTTACTTTTATGTATCTATATAATATAAATACTGAAATATTTTTGTATGACTTACTGTGTTGTCTTCTTTTTGTTTACCAACAAATTTTTATTATGATGTAAATACTCTCCTTTTATTATCTGCTATTTTCAAATGTACAACATTTGAAAATTTATTTCAAGCAGATAATAAAATTCTTTTATCTGCTTGAAATAAATTGAAATTAGTAGCAGCTTACATTAGGCCAATATTACTATAGATGTTGAAAAATAAAATAACAAAAAGGGCATGTTCAATCTGATTGGAAAAGTGCTCAGTTGTCTTTCTTTCTGTAACACTCAATATAAATTTTTCATTTTCAGTTTTTTTTCCTGCTTTGCACAAAACACTGTTTTCAGTTTAGATTTTTTTTACTTTTTTGTTTAACATACAACAAATGTTCATTTTTCTTTAATATTGTTTAACAATCAATACACATGAAACTTCTGTCAAAAATAGTAGTAATTACTTTGAATGAGCTAAGGAGTGATCAGGTTTCTTTAATATGGATATGTTAAATAATTTAGTAATCCTGACACAGTCGATTATTTTATGTCTTCATTGTGGAGGTTGATGGAATGGTCTGATGTGAATAAACTTCAAATGATTTTATACTGAGGAATTTCTGGGTTAGAGAATTTACTTCTGTGTATTAAGTGCAATACTTAATGTAAGAGATATTAAACTTTTAATACTGAAAATGTTTTTAAACTTATTGTATTTTCTGTTTTAATTCAAAATCTAGAACAATGGTGGGCTTACAAAGATTTATTGAATCATTAATTAACAAACCGATATAACTAGATCAACTTACATACAGCTTATTGGGAGCTAGACTAAATCAAATAGGTTCCTCCATACAAACTTTTAATAAAAGTGATGCTTGGGTTAATATAGAAATTAATATATATATAAATATTTACTTCTTGAAGAAGAGAAATTAAGTTATCTGAATTAAGTTGTCATTCATGGCATTTATCTAATTTCTAATTCTAATACTTTTTAATGTCTAAACAGAAATGTTTATATTATGATAGTGATGTTAATATATACCACCTTTATTGTAAAATTGTCCACATTTGAAAAACTTTAGGCAGGAATACCTTTTAGAATATTTGAACATATTAGCAGCATAATGAATTTCAATATCCATTTTCTAATGAATTTTTGTTGAATTCATTATTTTTATTCCTATAAAATAATTGCTAAATTATTAAATTTTTAATTAAATTAGTTGATTTTTGTTAAACAAGTTTTGTAGCATTTAAATCGTACTTTACTATATTCCTGGGATTGTCATCCTGATGGAATAAATAAATATACACAATAATTATAATAAACAATAACCATTTGACAAAAATGTTAAATAAGTTGAGATTTTAAATTAGCTTATAAATAAATAACTTCTATAAATATTGAAATCTCTGTTTTTATAGAAAGGGGAAAAAGATCTAATAACAAAGTTTACTCTAACTTCAGTATCAGAGCAAAATCCTTGCTTCCCTGAACCTGTTACCAGCAAGTAACGCGTATAAGAAATATACAGTGGGTAACAAACGTTTTCGAACTATCTTGAAGTTCTTCCTCAGGTCAACTAGCTTAGGAATGCTTCCGAACGGAGCATGTGGAATTCGACAGGATTGAAAGCATTCCTAAGCTAGTTGACCTGGGGAAGAACTGTGAGATAGTTCGAAAATGTTTGCCACCCAGTGTATATTTCTTATACACATTATGCGCCGTTAACAGGTTCAGGAAATTGAAGGGGGAAAAAAAACCTAATGTTATTATTTTGTTTGGATTAAATATTTTCTTTTGCAGTTACTATATACAGTAATACCCCGAACTTACACAATAGATGGGACCGAGCAATAACCGCGTAAGTCAAATTCGCGTAAGTCGGGGTATAATTTCGCAATTTGTGTAAAATCAAAGTCGGATGTATGTAAACTAATAAATGTTCTCGTTAATCTTATCACATCTCTTGATTCGTTCACGGTTACAAGAAATCATCACATAGAGTCTCTCAAGTCTCCGTAGATATAACAAACACAGAAATAAATAACACAAAATAAAGTGTAGCTATGTGTCGATTCCACGCGACACGTCCGAACATGTAAGCTGAACAATAGTGTGGGGGGAGTGAGTAATCATGAGTTGCGTGGCACTCAAACAAAAGACGAATCGACGACGAGATTTGAATATTTAATGCCTCATAGTCTGAAGTTTTGGAAGAAGTTTTGATTGAAATAACTGTTGGCGTGACATCCAACCCCAGTACTTAATACTCCTAACGAGATTTGAAAATTGCGTAAGTCGGGGTAGCATAAGTCAAGGTATTACTGTAATAATTATTTTCTTAAGCAAGTTTTTTTTATTGATGACTTTTTTAGTTATATTAAATTATTTTTATATTAAATGAGAAACTTTTTCACATTTCCAAAATATCTAGTAGAAAAATGTTGCATGTTCGTAAGAAAATAGAAAATGGTCTATAGTTGTATTTCAGAAATGTTTCTATAAAGTGTTAGTTTGATTCATTTTATGATATTTTCATATAATTAAGAATCAATTGCATTAAGTAAACAATTTTTAGGATAGCTTTCATAAATTAGAAAATAGCAAAGTTTGATTATACTCATAACTTTACATAGAAAGTAACAATTTTTTGTCATAGAACACTTACTTAAGAATCATATACAAGTATTTGATTCTTTACAATGAAGGTAGCAATGCTTCTTATATATAATCTCTAGAATTTTTGGATATAATTAGTCTTAATAGAAGAATGAATTTGGCTTTGATACAGTTCATTTTGTGATTTTCTGACTGCAGAAATTCTAGTATATTTTTTAAATTTGGCAGTTTATTTTAAAATCAGTTAGCACATTCAGATTGATGAGTAAATAATTTTATATTTAGAATTGTTCATTTTTAAATAACTTTGCTTTTACAACAAATTTAAAGTAATTAATTTAAAAATTCTGAAATAATGAGAAAGAAATGAATATATACTATGAACAATCTCGTACTCACTTAACCTTTATTGTCCAGTNTATTTTTAGTTTCTTCTGAATCATTTAACATCTATCATAATTTAAAATTTTAATTGTAAATTTTTTTCCTTCAGTATGATTGTTTTATATTCTACATCATTCTCATTTGTATAACAACATAAATATGATTTTGTATTGAAATACAGCATATATGTATTAGATAGTGAGATTATGAAATAAATACTGATATGATATAATTAAACTGAAGAGAATTTCAAATGCACACTGAAATATGTATTCTTCTATAAACATTAAAAATTCAAATTTCCTGACATTAAAAAATCAAAAATGGTCTAGATTGTCTATTTTATGTTAATATTTGTAAAAAAAAGAAAAGTTTATTCCCATTGCAATATAAGTTAATTGTAATGAAATGATCGATTGAAAGAATGAATGAATCAATTGAAATATTATCTATATGTTAACATTTTTCAATATAAAAAATAATTAAAGTATATTAACTATATTTTGGCTTTATTTTAATTTGAATTTTACAGATACAAGTCGACCAAGAAGGGATGGTGAAGTGAATGGTGTTGATTACCATTTTATCAGCCGAACTCAATTTGAAGCTGACATTGTTCTAGGAAAATTTGTAGAACATGGGGAGTACGAAAAGAATTACTATGGTACAAGTTTGGATGCTATCAGAGCAGTAGTTAATTCAGGAAAAATATGTGTACTTAATCTGCATCCTCAGGTAATAGATTTTATATGAACAAATGAATGAATTTGAATTTTGTTCAAAATTTGTTTTTGTAAAAATATAACTTAATTTAATGACTGCTTAGCATAACCATGTGACTTCCTATTATAGACTCCATCATTTCAAACCAACTTAGTATTGAAAGTTGAGATGTTTTTTCCTCATCGTTAGTGTTAACAGAATATAAATTTAAGGTGTTTTAAGTTAAATTTGTTTAAAAAAAAATCTATTGTACAGTATTTTCATGACTAACAGTTACAGTTAGAAAAATTTTTAAACTAAGTTTTAAATGTGTTAGGATTATGAAATTATACTTAAAAAGTGAATTGTTTAAATTTCGGTTAGAACATGAATTTAACTTGTGTTATGCTCCTTAAAGAAAAATAATAATAAGTTTTCATTGAATGTTTAAGTGCTGGTATTTTTAACAAATAGATTTGAAATGATGGACAGTAAATCAGACTAAAATATTATAGCAAATGATATGTATAATATTTGTACTAGAATGAATCATTATTTTAAAAAGTAAAAAATAATGAGAGTAAAGAAAACTCATTATTTCAAGAAATAATATCAATAAATGTATCAAAAATAGGCATTATAAAAAAAATTATATAATGTCCATTTTTATCTTATTGTATTATTTGATATAACATTGCAAATTGCTAAAGTTGTAATTGTTGTTTTACATTCTAATATTTTAGTATAAATTGAAATTCTTAAATAGAAATGGTAGAATTTTATGATGATATATTCCTTAGACGTTACTTAAATTACTTAATAACTATTTTAGAATATTTAAATATTCTATATATATTCTAGAATAGTTGAGATATTAATGACAATACTTTCATATATTGGAAATATTTTTTTCTTTATTTAATACATTTCTTGTTTTAAAACAAATTTCAATGTATATTTAAAAATAAGCATAAATATAAATGAGTAGGAAAAGCTACATGTTGTTATTTGTAATATTTTCATTATTGATTTAAACATAATAATTTTGTATCTCCTATTGTACGAACTTCTAAAAAATGAACTTTTAGAAATAAATGCAAAAGTTTCAAGTACAGTACAATAATTATTATTGTAATTATATTTTTATAATTATTAATAATTAACTTACTACTATTACATTGGAATCTGCTTATTGTAATCATATTGTCATTAGTCAGTTAATAACAATTCTGATGATCAATCATCAGTATTAACATGTTCCAAGGTATATTTATTAAAAATATACTTATAAATCTTCACTTATTGTAATTAGTTTGTTGTTGTAATTATTAGCTTCAGTTAAATAATTATCTTAAAGCTGTCTTTTCATATTATCAGTCTCAACATATGATTAATAATAGGCAATCATTATCAGTCTTCATCATTAATCTTTTATCATTCTGTGTTTTAAAATTTCCAGAGAATAATTTGATTCTTTGGAATTTTGACATGTAAAAATCTTCTATTGTTTATATCAGGGCTTCTTAAACTATGGGTTGCGACCCCATTTGGGGTTGCAAGATTTTAATGCAAAATATTGAAAATAATTTGTGAGAGTTTGAAAGTGAGGCATGCTTTCTGTCATAGGTTTTGTGAGTAAGTTGCACTTTGTGTCATTTCTGATTTGTGTAGAAATGTAGTTATGGATTGAATTAATCACCCATAATGTATTATAAATTACTGTTAAATAAGGACATGAAACACTCAGTTCTTACGAGTCTAATTTTATTTTTTTCAAAAATAAATAATAATAATAAGCTGATAGCAGTTATATTAATAATAAAGAAGACTATAACAGATTTGTAATGTAGAAAATATTTTGAAAGCTTTATATGAAATCTCTTTTCAGCAGAAACAGTTGTGGAAAATGTCCTATATAATTGTTAATAGTTGATATTACCTGCTGAAAAACCTATAGTTTTTGGAATGGTTGCAAAAAACAGCCAAAGTTTTTGATATTGATATTTTCAAAAGTAATATTAAATAAGTTTACAATATTTCAGACACCATAAAAGAAAAATTGACAAAATGACTGAAAATTTGGACAATAAGTTTCTAATTAAAAAACAGTGAAGATCTGAGTTAGATTTTAATATTCTGATGCCAATCTTTTAGAAATGATAAAAATATAAGAATCCAACTTGCAGGATCATCTTTATCATTTGCTAATTGATAAGAATTTATTTGAGTCAGTTTTGTTTTCTTCATTTTGGCAAAAAGATAGATCTTAGCAGTAAATCTTACCCATGTCTTATGTGAGATTTGAATTTAATGGAAAACTTATAGCTTTATTATTCTGTTGCTTATTATACTTGTTTAATTACTTGTTAATATTATTATAACACTGTTGAAGAAATGCTTAAAATTTAATGAATATCTTATATTCATTCAATTTTTAAGCATTTCTTCAGCAGTGTTATAATAATATTATAAGATATTCCTCAACAAAAACTATTATTTATGAGACACTTTTTTTTCTCATTGTCTTTTTAGAAATTATACCTATATTTCTGAATGTAAGTAATTTAAGTAGGAAAATATGAATTTCTCATTAGAAGTGGAATTGACTATGAATGCCTAGGAATCTATACAAATTGAATGCATAGACTTATTGTATATGTTTGAGAAATGTGTGACTTAGCATTATTGCCACATATGTTTTAAGAATCTTTTTTTATTTAATATATCAGAAATACTTAAGTTGTGCTAAATATTATCCAAATTAAATAGTAACATCAAACTTTAATTACAATATCTAATTATAAAAGTGATTACCCAAATCACTTACTGTTTACTTGAGTTTAAAAGTTGTTTTAGACTCCAATAAAATAATGATTCCTTATTTTTTTGTTTGAATTTATCTTGAAAACAATTACATGTTTTGTTTAAACTGTTTTAAATGAATAAATTATTGGAATGGTAGTAGTATTTGATGCTTTGTTAAATTTATCTGTTAATTTTTCTCATGTATTATCCACTTTTTATTCTTGAAAATTCAAAAAGCCTTACTCTGTCAAAATTGGAGCATTCAGAGCCCTTATCAAGAGACCTTTTATGTTCCACCAACAAAGACAAAGCAAAAGAACTAAAATATATCTCACATCTTGCCATTCAGCATAGCTACCATTATAAAACTATCAAGGGATTAATCAAGGAACACAACAGGAAACAGGATAAACTATACAGAGTTGTAACGAGAGTTGTACAATGAACAGCTCAAGTATATCTTTAAAGAACTAGCGAAGGCTTTCAAATATCACTATTGGCTATCAACATAACCCAACTATTTATATGATCCTCAGAAATGCTAAAGACCCCATTAATAAAAAAAGACCCTTCCCAGAGGTCTATTCCTATTCCAATTTGTGACAATAGAGTTGGACAAAAGCTTTAATATATAGTGACTACCTCTCATTCATTGTACAATACCTCTGATTAAAAAAGTATAGGAGTTCATTCAAGAAAGTTCTCACCTAAACAGCCCAGGCGATCTTCTCAGCTGACAACCAGGTCCAAATTTCTTTCAACATCTCAAATATTGGCAAGCGCCAAATCCGACAGAGGGCGCTGTTTTGAGCCAAGATGGCTGCCGAAACAGGTAAGGAGGCGACCATGTGTTTGAGCCGATTCAGTTTCTATCAGTGACGACTACTGCGAGGACCAAATGAAGAACAAATCATTGAATTTATGTCGAATTCTAGACTATATCAGCGACATGAAACGTTGTCTTGTAGAAGGTGAAGCCGTTTTGGATGTGGACACATCGTATTTTGTGGATTAAACTCTTAACAACAACACCGAAGTTCATGCTGTTGCTTTAGTGTTGCAATCTCAGATATTGGCATTTTAAAACATCTCAATTACAGGGAGAATGCACGTGCAAAGCGGAGCTGTCTGGTTTTTGTAAACGTGTGATAGCACGTTTATTACACGTTAACAGGTGAGAAGTATTTAAATATTTTAAGCAGTATACACCATATTCCAACATAAAAACAAAGTTTTATTTATTATAATAGTTAAAATTAGTGCCAATCTGAAGGCTGACCTACTGAGTCATTCAGCACTTATACAACATAGGCCAGTCAAGTTTGGTTGTGTAGCACACACACAACATAATGTGTGTGTGTGTGTGTACCTCACATATATCCAAAACGGCTTCACATTCTACAAGACAACGTTTCCTGTCGCCGATATAGTCTAGAATTTGACATAAATTCAATGATTTGTTCTTCATTTGGTCCTCGCAGTAGTCGCCACCAATAGAAACTGAATCGGCTCAGGCACTGAACAAACACGTGGTTGGCTCCTTACCTGTTTCGGCAGCCATCTTGGCTCAAAAACAGCGCCCTCTGTCGAATTTGGCGCTTGCCAATTATGCTACCAATAAAGGTTACTCTAAAGGTAAACCTTTAGAGGTTTACCTTTAGAGTAACCATGCTACCAATAAAGGTAAACCTCTAAAGGTAAACCTTTAGAGGTTTACCTTTAGAGTAACCATGCTACCAATAAATAGAGGTTACCATACTACCAATAAATAGAGGTTACCATGCTACCAATAAAGGTTACTCTAAAGGTAAACCTTTAGAGTAACCTTTATTGGTAGCATGGTAACCTAAATTTCAAGTTTTTTTAAAGGTGAACCTTTAGAGAAACTTGAAATTTATGGCTGTTTTTTCTGTTGGTTCTATAAACTATAAGGATTACAATATCTTTTCACAAGCATTAACAGATTTTTGAGGTCAATATTAACAAGGATTTCATTTATAAACAGTGACAATAATAATTACCACTACATCTAATCAAATGCTTGTTTGGTCTGTTTGAAATTTTATGTTCAGATTCTTGTTTTTATTTTAACCTAAGGATTACTATTGAAAGTAGTTAACTTTATTTTTCTTCAATAAATTTTGCTGGATTTTTATGTATTTTGTATGTTTTATATAAGCATCCAGTTTTATGCATTTATTTGATAATTATATTACTGATATTTTCTACTGTTAAATATATAGGCATTACATTTTCCTTCAATAAAAAGTTTATTCATCATTGTAACTACTGTTATACAAGATCTAATCAGACTATTCATGAAAATAAAAAATTTCATAAAAGTTAAAATCATACATCATTAAAACATGTTTTTTATTAATTTATACTCCAAATAGACATGATAACCATATATCTGACTCTCAATAGAATAAAATATTTGGATAGAATTGAGAAAATCCAAGTTTATTTTATTAATTGTATTTTAAAATTAGGATGTTCATAATATCTGGTGTTACACTCCACAAAGAATTTGGAAGACCACCTTTGGGTTGCCATTATATCAAATGATTATTCAATTTTTGTTTTTTTTTTTTCTTTTTTATTAAGACTGACTGTCTGAGGTTGACTTAGAACAAAAGTTTGATTTTCAACTTGTGGAGTTATCTAAAGGAAATGACTATATTTAGCTTGCTTCTCTTTAAAAATTTCCTTTTTTTTTTTTTTAATGCTCAGTCTCCTCAATTAGTTGAAATTTTTCAGCAGATATTGTACAGACTTATATTGGTGTAAAATTACAACAGGATAGGCTAATGCTTGAACCTCATTACTGTGTGATCTATTAGGGGTAGTCAAATGAAAGCGAGACAGATGGGAAAAAAGTAAGTAAACTGTTTATTATTTCAAAAGTAATTGCAATAATTGTTAATACATTTATCCCACTATGAAACAAGATGGTCAATGTCTTCTTAGAAAAATATTTGTTGTTGCCTACGGATGGAGCCATGATTGTACCCAGGCGTGCACCTTTTCGTCCGAAGCAAATTGATGGCCACAAATGTCTTTCTTCAGGACTCCAAAAATATGGAAATTGCATGGGGAGAAATCGGGACTGTATGGAGAATGTGTATGGACTACAAGATTGTTTTGACTACGCTGCAGAAGTTTCGCTGGGAACTTCTGCAGCATAGTCAAAACAATCTTGGTAAGATGTGGGTGGGCATTATCCTGTAACAGAATGATGCTGTCTGTCAACATTTCTGGGTGTTTGGATTTGATGGCACGCCTCAATTTTTGCAAAGTTTCTATGTACCACTGTGCGTTAATTCTGGCATCATGTTCCAGAAAGTCAATAAGCATCGGACCTCCATGGTCATGGTGGACACACACGACTCACTGATCTCACTTAGAGCATGTCTAACAGACAAATGGCACAACGGTGAATGTTCACGCTGTTCCTTCCTGATTCCCAATAGAGGGCACTTCTATATACACACCTACCTGCATTACTAACTTCCATGCCACACTTGTTATATAGTCTATCTCGTTTTCATTTGACTGACCCTAATATATTTACCCTAGTCCCCATCATCATCTTTTATATGAAATTAATTATCATGTCAAACCTTTAATTTTACAACCAAAACATAAATTCTGCTTATTATTTCTTTGTAAATATATTAATTTAGATATTAATAAACCTTACACCTTTTGTTTTATTATTCCTAATTGTGTTAGAATAACAATTAAAAAGAAAAAAATTTTTATCTTGTAGAAGCCTTGTTTCTGGGCCTTTCTGTAAATAAATATTTGGCAGTTATGGAAGTATTGTAAATTATTCAGTCTCCAGATATTAGTTATATGGAAGTTTATGAAATTTTTTCTTAGTTCAGCTGTTTAACAAACATCTTAACTTCCCCTTGTACAAAATAAGTACAATAAAGCTTACTATTGTTATTGTTTAATACAACAGGAATAAACAGTCTTTTTGTGATAAAAGAAATGAAATACAAATGTTGATTTTAAAAACAAATCTAATTACAAACACTTTTGATGATAGATAATACCTGACCATAATCTTCAATGAAACAGATAAAGAAACAGAACATATACATTTCAGCTGTAGAAACTATACAGAATTTTTATTTCATCTTTTTTAATATTAAAAAGACAGTTTTTATTTCAATTGAATTATTTTGGTGTATGCCTTTATATATCGCATTTTAAATACTGCATTTAATCCATATTTATAAAGTGATTTATTGAATTAATGGTTAGTAAAAGATTGCATACTTTCACTCAAAATATATTTATCAGAATTATTAGCATTTTAAATTAAAACAAGTTAAAGAAATTTAGAACTTGTTAGTCTTTGTTTTAGTCTAGAACTTTACATAGATTTTTTTTTTCCTACATTCTTTTGCATTATGATGGAATGCTGAAATTTATTAAAAACTTAACTATTGCAATGTATGCAAAAGTTAATGTTTTTAGCAAGTGTCAGAAATTAAAATTAATTATTGAATAATATTTAGAATGACTTTAATTTTATGTATAGAGATATTGCATTAATAAAATTTATATTAACTGACAACAAATAATTTTAATTTAAATTGTTTTGTTATTTGATGTTTGTTAAAATTTTGACATTTTATTTTATTTTTTTGTTTTTCAGTCATTAAAGATACTGAAGTATTCTGATCTTAAACCATATGTAGTTTTTGTTGCGCCACCTTCTCTTGAAAAATTACGTCAGAATCGCATAAAATCTGGTGCAACTGTAAAAGATGAAGAATTAAAAGATATCATTGAGAAAGCAAGAGAGATGGAGGAAAACTATGGTCATTTCTTCGATATGATAATTATTAATTCTGATACGGACAAAACATACAACGAACTGTTGCATGAAATCAATATTTTAGACACAGAACCACAATGGGTGCCTGGAATCTGGCTTAAAGATACAAACTGAAGCTCATCATAATTACTTTTTAATAGAACAAATATCAATATGTAAATATACAAATCCAACATTACATTAAACAAGTGATAAAGTTCAACTGCCAAAATGAATTCTATTAACTTCTGAACTGTTTTGGTGTGTGATTGCAACAAACAAGTTGACTTAAATTTTTATTCTGAAGAAAATTTGCTGTAACAAATCATAAAATGACAAAAAATATATATATTTTATGAAGTTAGCATTCAAATTTAATGGATGTTTATCCTAGTCATTGGGGAACTATTAAAAATTAAAAAAGGAAAAAATTAATGAGTAAACATTGAAAATTTTTCAAGATTCAAAGTATTGTTTGCTTTGGAATTATAACAGAAATAAAATGAATTGAGTTTGTAATAGTTACTTTTCTTGTGTGTACATATATATGTATATTTAGGCAATAGAAATATTTTAATGTTCAGGTCTGTTGCATGTCCATAAACTGGTCCATTTATTGAACTGATTTCAACTTTTCTAGTTTGTATATGCAAATTTTGTTCGTGTCAAGCAACAACAAAGTTATTAATGTATTTAGTAATATTAGAAAACTTGCTTAAGAGTTTTTCAAATGAAAATTTATATAATTTCAATTTTTTATGTTTAATCGATGTGAATTGATATTTCCAGAAAGAAAATATTTGTATATTAGATTGGGTTTGATGTTAAACTGTGACAGTATTGTGATAACATATGAATTGAACAAAATTTTAGGGAATTTTAAATGCATTTAATGTGTGTGATTGTGCAAAGCTTCTTTTCATCAAACAAAGTCGGCAACGTTGATAGACTGCAACAGTTATTTGAGCTAAATTTGAAGTAAATATAATTATTGGTGCTGTTTTATAACTCCATAAGTTATAAAAAATTTGTTCATAAATCAACAGGTATGTTGAAATTGAAGTATTACTCTCTGAACCATTGGCAAAGTGAATAATTATTATCTAATTATTACATGGTCATTTTTTAAAATTCTGTTTAAATTTATTATATTCACAAGACAATGCCAATCAATTTTATTTTAAATAATTGTTTTTAAATTTATATTTTATGTTACTGTTTATTATGGGAAAAATATATTAAACGATTCTTAAAAATATTTTCTTTGTGGCATCCAACCAAACGACGATCATTTTGTATTCTCCATCCGTACTTGTAAATAAGATTGCACTTTGTGTACGACAAGCCGGACATCGTGTATAATATAGGGAATACCAATTGTTACAGAAAATGTATATAGATCACCTTATAGCCCATGTAGCAACAAGGTTTTCCCAAAGTTAGCCACGTGTACAGAAGAGAGCATTATGCAGAATTAAATAAGAAAAAAAATCTATATATATTGTAACATTTGAAAAATTAAAATACTTGGGTTAACTAAAATCTGAATTTCTTTTCATTCAAATACTTTTCTGTTATTAAATTCAGCAAGATACTTTAATTTTAATGTTACTCAGTTTTAAAGCTAATCAATTTGTTTTTAATACTAATTAAGACATTTATGTTGTACTTTGATTCGCAATAATGTTTTAAACTATATCTAGTTCCTCATTAATGTAATAAAAAGCTATGAATAAGTTAATCTTTAAGTATAATTTAGATAAAATACACACACAATGTTCTAAAAACAAAGATAATGGGGATAATGGAACATTACTCAATTACTTTATATACATTAAGTGCGTGTATACAGAAACTTCTGCGATATTCAATTCATTATATTGTTTCTGTTAGTATAAAAATAATTTATTAAAAACTACATTTAAAAAATTTCGGACTAGTTCATATAAGTTTGTATAATCCTCAAAGCAAATACCGTTTTGAGAATATAGGTATTATGTTAACTAGTGTAAAATATTTTATTATAATGTCTATTGGAATTTTTTAAACATGAAATTTCTTAAACATGCTTTGGAAAATAATAGCTTAAGTATTTTGATACGATTGTATTGTGTATAAACTAATTTTAAAATCTCTTAATTGTATATTGTCTCATAAGGGCATATTCAGTAAAATCGGAAAACTCAATTCCAATATTCACATTTCAGTGCCGAATAACGGATTTGCAATTTTACTATAACAAGTTTTCATTCAAAATTTCATTTTTCCTCCCCTTTTAATGAAAAATTCTTGAAATACTTCGAGAAAATTCATTTACGTCAGTATTCAAATATCCGTTTGAAATACAAGTCAGTTATTATATTTACTACAATGGTTCCAATATATTCCAAAAGCTTGTTTCTTTGTAAACTCTGTCGATTATTTTACAAATTTTATAAGTAAAATTAATTTAAATATTCTAAAGTTACATTTTGAAGTTCGAATTACAGTGATCCAGATACTACAAATGTTTTATACGGAAGTCCCCATAAAATTTATATAGTATCAAGTTTTTTAGGAAGGAAATCAATATTATAATCATACGTTTTTGCGATAAATCAATTTTATAGATTTTAATTTGAACTGGAAACGTTTAGTGTGAATTTCCTTAATCTTGCAATGAATTAACTGAAAACAGTAAAAGCAAGAACATTCAACAACAAAATGATTGGTTAGGACAATCAAATATTGTAAATATAAAAACTGAGTTAAAATAATTGTAGATATTACAGAAATCTTGATATAATGAATCTGTACAGTTAATGTAAAATTCTTATTTTTAAGTGTAACCCTCCAGCCTGGGGTAATAAGACGTTTTTTCCATACTCGTGTATTCGGCTAGGCTTGGTGGTGATGGATGGGACCCTATATTATCCAAACGGACCGCCTAAGAAGGTTCCTAAGGCATCGCTCTCCTAGATTCGATCCCGGAACTTCCAGAGTAGTAGGCTGATACCTTACTTTCTCGACTATTCACCTGTTGTCCATTCTACATTCGTCTAAAAAACAAATTTAGTGTGAATTATTTATTATTATAATTTTTTCTATAATAAATAAAACAACTTTTATACATTTCTATTAATTTTAATTAGTTATGTTCATGAATTATTCGCAATTTCAGCTTATATTTGTAAATCTTTCCGCGATTTCGAGCGATAGATTTGAATTTAGGAACAAGCGCACAATTGTATCTGCCGCTATCTATGCAATCATATTACTGTACTATTTACATGATATGTCAGTTATAATTTTGACGATAAATGTTTGCGAGTCATTTGAAGAAATTGTCAAAAAATCAGGGTGTGGAGTCGGAGTCGGAGTCGTCAAAAAATCCGCCGACTCCGACTCCTTTTTACTTACCAACTTGTTATGTATAAAAAACGGAAAAGTATTGGAATAGTGTCAAATTTGACCCTCCAACTTTTTTTCAAATCTATATGTTTGGAGACCTCCCGAACCCCTCCAAAAAGTCAATAAAGGGAAAAAATTCGCGCGAGTGTGTGTTGGCTTAAACTTTACTCATTCTGAGATATTGTTTAATATCTCAGAATGGGTAAAGTTTAAGAAACAAAATGTGGCACTGTAGCTTGCATATAAAGGGGCATTAATACTATTAAATTTTGGTTCTTAAAGGTCGACAGGGTAAAGACATAAAAGGAGTCATGTGTCATATCTCTTAATGAATATTTTACTCGTTATTAGCGTTCAAAATTTAAAAAAATAAAATAAAATTCGTCTCTACCCTTAAAGGAAGCTTTTTTGCCATTTTATAATAGTACAGTAAAACCCGTTAAGATGTTCTCGCCTAAGATGTTAGAATGTACAGTGGTGCCTCGTATAACGTACTTAATTCGTTCCGGGTGCACGTCCGTTAAGTGAAAAGTCCGTTATACGAAACGCATTTTCCCATAGAAATACATGTTAAAACATAATTCCGTTCAGCAGCATAAAAATAACCGTACCATAAAAAAATGAAAATGGAGCAGTCACCAATTATGCCGGGTAGTCAGATGTTGTGAGGAGGTGGAGGAACACTTTTTTCACACATACAAACTTTTTACATATTGCAGCAGGTCTCTTTATTGTTTTTTAATCGGAGTCAGATTCAGGAGAGGCTACCGGAGCTTGCAGGGTCAACTCCTCTTGTTCCATCCTTTGTTTTTTGTCAGCTGACTTCTTGAAAAACATGTCAAGGGTGGTCTATTTCTCTCTCTCTTCTTCAACACCTGTCGAAAATGACGGGCAAGGGTGTCATTGTAGAGATCATTGATCCTGTTGGCCTCAACTGTGTTTGGATAATGAGTGTTAGTAAACTCCTGAACCTCTCCCCATTTGACAAGGAAGTTTTTGTCAACTTTCACTCCTGATGATTTTTTGCTTTGTTTCAATTGAAATCACCTTTCTGTTTTTTAGAAGCCATGATTTGCACAACACTTGAATAAATGTAAATACCCTGCACTGAGGTGATGTAC